GACAATCAATGATAAGGATGACATCGATGCGACTTAATGAGCCACAAATATTAACTTTTGTCCTCCGACAAATTAAATTCTAAAACATGTTTTTTATGTATTAGAAAAATAAAGACGTTTGAAGTAATTGTAGGTAAAAATATTTCCTGTTTTAGTGTAAATGGGTATTAAAATGAGTAAAAGGCGCCATTCTGCTCGAATCAGTAACGTCTTATATAAACAATGCACGCGCCATTGAGCCAATGATTGACGCGTGCGATATCGCGTCATGTGTTTAAGGCAGTTATTTTTTTACAGCGATATTACAAGATTTTCGTAATACTCTGTGAAATTGATTGTAAAAATGCCGAATCCGAAAGTCCAGATATGAGTTACTCGGGTCGGAGAAGATCCAAGACATTTTTTTAAACTCACTCAATGCTAGAAAATGGCGGCCATCTGATCGAGCAGTCATCTCAGTCAAGAGATCATTGAAGTATTTTAATATATCGTACAGGTATTTAACTTCATTATAAATGATTAAGATGCTTTTTTTATTATTCAATTAAATATGAAGAAACACAACCCAAAAAATTAACTATATAGAACAAATAACTTGAAGATGGTTATGTATATGGTACGCTCGATTCACAGCCCAGAACTAGCAATGCAAAAGCTTTTTTGAAATTTTGAATCTGATTAAAACTGAATATTTTCTAGCATTTCAACCCCTCTCCCATTTAAGAACCCCACACCAACAGTCCAACACTATAGGCTACCCACCCGAAAGCGCTCCCAATTATTAGCTATTAATAAACACCAGATAACGTATTTTCTGCTAATCCATATAGCACAATATTTGCTAAGTCTTCATTTTGAAATTCTCGGTGATAGCAACATTATCCTGCGGTTTTGCATGAAAATACTATGCTTTGATTACCATATAAGGCACCACAGGTCTTCATATACACCAGACATGTCAACTCTAACGCATCACGCGGTAAAGTGCCGTGAAAAGTCCTCATGTACCGCTCTACTGCGCGGTAATAGATTTCTACCGCATTTTCATACAAAGAGTTTTTTAATTTTCACGCCAAAACTACGGAACTAAGGGAAGCAACCCTTTTCATGTAAACAAAAAAGATCGCGACTTTCGTTTATCAACAACCATTTGGGATATTGTAAGGTTTAATTTAGCTAAGAGATTTGTTCTCAAATTCTTTTCAACCTATTTTAGAGTTAATAAAGCGGATATAATTATTGGCACGTGTTCCTAATACTCTTAAAGTGCGTAGTGATAAACTAAACAAATAGCGACCAATTTACGGCAGCAATGGCTGACATTTTCGTTTGCGCGCGTACGTACGTACAGCATCTAATACAATACTCTGAATGCAACACAACACAACCTGGAACTTTAATTTCAAGATGGGATTACGTCTCGACGATTGTGACTTACTGATTATTTCTTTTTGAAGGCTACATATTCAATTTTGGTTTAATTACATCAATAATTTTAGATATGGTTACCATTGCTTGTGTATATTTTATCTATTACCCATTTAATGCAATTTTTGTATTGTTGGGTCTGCAGTTCAGTGTATCATTTCTAAATTAATTTCCCTTGGAAGTGCGAATTTACGCGTTTTTTGAAATCTACTTCCAAATCATGGTTTCTACTGCATTTTTTACACTACCCTACTGCATTTCAGCTCTGAGGGGTTGACGGGTCTGATATACACATTTCATACTACGGAAATAGTAAAATGTTTAAATGGTTAATTTTGGCGCAAAAACTTGATATGGGCGTGAATAACAAATGAAATGAAATGGAGTTTAACGTCCTATTGTTCTGCTCCTAACCTGGGCTAATGAAGACGGGCGAGAATAACAAACAAGACCTGTTAATACGTTGATTGCCGTGCCTTTTGACTTGTGATTTTAGCTATCAATAAATTTTTAAATACTATAATTTTTATAAAGAATGTAAACGATGTTTAGACATTATGAATTTCAAGTATTTCATTTTCTATCTTACAAACGAAGGCAGTAGTTTATGAGGAATATAACCGTCATGGACTTAAAGCCAGGTACAGGGATTAAATTATTTTTATTTTTTATTTCAAAATAAAAAAGAAACCTATTAATAGCAATATAGAAATAACAAGAAAGCAGTTGTGGTCTGCACCCACATCGAGTGGAGTTATCTTTCCTTTTCTTCCATATGGTTTGTTTTCCTGCATTCTGTCACTAGTTCCATAGGTTGGTGATTGAAATATGGGTCAATATGACAAGAAATGGGTCATTCTATGAGAAAATAATTTACTTCCAGTGACGAGCTCCAGTGACAAGCGCCGTTTTTGCCTTTTCCTTGCTATCGTTCTTGGTGTACCCATATAACAATCAGTTTCACTGAGGTATTCTAAAAGCCTTTTTATAACTCTTGAGTAAGATGATTGACCTTTATCAGTTCAAGTATCATAAGGTCTGTCATTGAGTCAACTGGCATGGTTTCGAATCCCCAGTTGTACGTGACAAGGATTAGGGTCGCCTGTCTAACCTCGTGGGTTTTCTTCGGGTCCTCTGGTTTCCTCCCACTGCTAAAGACTCCTACACGCAAGCAAATTATTGAAATAAAATTAAACCATATGTTAGTCCCGAAATGACCTAGTTTGTGTCCAGTGGATGTTAGACTCTCTCTCTCTCTCTCTCTCTCTCTCTCTCTCTCTCTCAGTTCAAGTACCTTCTAGTTATGATATCACATCACACTGTCTAATTCATTGGCTATAGCAAATTACTTGATTCTGAGCAAAGTAATACATGTATATGTTTCAACTATGAAGTGTTGGCAAGATGTAGCATAGCTCGTTTACATGTATTATCATAGCAAAAGTTGGCTACTTGATAATCACAATGTTTAAGGTCATGAGGGGAGGAAGACTTTTGACTAAATCTTGATTATCCATTTTATTGCTAAATTTTCAAATCTTGTCCATCTGAGTAAATATACTTTAAAAAAGTGTTTCCCCCATGGATGAACCACTGAATCGTAGGTAAACGGAATGAGACCACTTGAGATAGTGAGGATGACTCTGCATGTACTAAGAGGGAAGTTTTGCATGAATAGAAATTGACCATCCAAACTACGAGACACTGAGCCACTATTGTAAAAGTTTTTGTATGGAGTACCATTAGAAACATCAAAATGAGTTTTTACTGCCAATAGGAGGGTTGGATGACTGAATGGTTAACGTGCACGTGCTTTATCATAAAGTCTGTCATTGAGTCGACTGGCGTGGTTTCGAATCCCCGGTTGTACGTGACAAGGAGTAGGGTCGTCTGTCCAACCTCGTGGGTTTTCTCCGGGTCCTCCGGTTTCCTCCCACTGCTAAAGACCCCTACGTGCAAGCGAATTATGTAAATAAAATTAAACCATATGTTAGTCCCGAAATGACCTAGATTGTGTCGAGTGGACGTTAAACCCCATTTCTCTCTCTCTCTCTCTTTTACTGCAAATAGTTATAAATACAACAATTACAATATCAAAATTCCCTGATTATTTATGAACATATTCAACTTACATCAACAATTTACTTTATTCAGGTTCTGTATTGGTCGTCTAATAGTGATGTAAAGGATGAAACAGATGTATATAAGCTAAAAACTCAAGAAACTTGAAGTGACTTGATAGATGGATTCATTACTGTTAAACTTAAAGGTAATATAACTTTATTAAAAGGGCAATAGGTTAGATTAGATGAAAAGCCGACAATTCTGGCTATTATATAGTTAAAAAATAGATAATGAATACAGAATATGCTGTACATTTCAGTCAAATTGCTTCACCCTGAACCAAGATATTAGCGATTCAATTTTAGGCTAGCCTCGAATGTCATTACTAACTTTGGGGGGTGGGTGGGGGTGGTTAGCGTGTGCATGTTGTATCATAATGTCTGTTGTTGAGTCAACTGGCATGGTTTTGATTCCCCGGTTGTATGTGACAAGGAGTAGGGTCGCCTGTCCAACCTCGTGGGTTTTCTCCAGGTCCTGAGGTTTCCTCCCACTGCTAAAGACCCCTACGCACAAGCGAATTATTGAAATAAATTTGAACCATCTATTAGTCCCGAAATGACCTGGTTTGTGTCGAGTGGACATTAAGCCCCATTTCTCTCTCTCCCTCATTACTAATTTTATTGCGATAATAAACCAAGTCTCGGTTATCCCTTTTGGTTTTTACAATAAAGGAGCTAAATCGCTAATATATAGAACCTAGAAATTGACACAAATGGATCGCAATGAATAATGTAATATGAATGTATATAAACTGATTTACATTCAATCGTTTCCGTTTTTACTGTAATTTCAAATCAGTAATCTTCAGCGAATGGCAATCTCGAGCGTCTGGTTATTCCAGTCTACACCGATATTATTTATTGCGCATGCTTTCCAGATAAGAATATGACGTCACCGTTTAACATGACTAGTAGAATATGTCTAACTTCGTTCTTCGAGTCCCTTGTTACAAATGGAACTGAAACGCATTCTGGTACACGATTCGTGTACCAATGGTAAAATGTTTATTTTGTCTTAAATATTGGATATCAGAAACCCATCTTTCCTCAGCAAGATAACATCATTAATGTTGATTTAAATTGACAAATAATTTGTGTTTTCAATGTCGAAGACTTCGCATGATATTGAATTCGAGACTAAGCTACTTTACATTATCAATCACAAAATGAATTCAAATCCACTAAATATCGCAGGCTAACAATTACATCAAGAGATGATTATGGTTTGGATAAGTCAATTAATGTCTAATTAATAATTTAGATAACATTTCCGACCTCAAGAAAGACTTGCAATAGGCAATTTAGCATAATGCATGTTAACCTCATGTATTGTCTCAAATTGAATCTCTAACAAATATTTTCTGAAAAAAAAATCTCTGTATTTCCTGCATCAAAAAGTTTTTTTTAAAAAATCACCTTTTTTTCTTACTTGTCATTTCAGTAATTAACCTGTTACTCTTAAATACAAGACCATCTGCGCCCAATCTGATTAAAACACAGGTCCAATTTCGTTTTTTATAGTACAAAATTTCGTTTTAGTTGCCTGGAAGACTTGTTATATAAACTGCATTATGGTTGATGTGAGGGATTAGCCAATCAAATGGTCTGTTGAATCCAGTTCTTGTCGTCTCGCACACAGTACTGTGGGTAGACATTAACAGCGATAGAAAACAAAACAAAAATAGATAAAAAAAAACCACCTCATGAACACGTTTTTTGTGTGAAAAGAATGGCATCCCCAGTGGCAGTTACACCCAAAAAGATGTATTTAAAGAATGATGTATGTATTTTGTGTGGATTTTCTTTCGTTCTCCGAGAAGTTGCCTCATATGACGAATTTAAAGAAAGAAAACAGTACGAAAATCGATTGCCTGTTACTTGCGAAAGACTTGAAAAAATAAAGAAAATCAATTTACATAATTTTGAAAGTGTCACTACTGTGGAAGACCTATATGACAGTGGATTATGTTCTACCTGTTTAAATAAAGTGGAGACTATTCTTAAATATGAAAATGACATTATACAACTAAAACTCGACTTGACACAATCCAGAGAAAATGCCAAACTGTTATTATTACAACCCCAACAAGAAAGTGTCGAAAGATTGCCAGGGTCGCCATCATCCAAGCCTCCAATGGAACTTCAAATAACGTCAGTGCCACATGTTTTAGCGAAACTTCCTCCTCAACAAACTGTACCTGTGCCTATTTTTGTATTGACAGTTCCAGCACAAGAAAAGGAAACTGTTATAAAAGGTATTATAAATTTTATGATACAGCATTTAAAGCTGAGCCAAAGAAGTTTAACCATAGAATAATAATCGTAGAATACAACAATAATGTAAGTCTTAATTCTATAAAACATAAAACATTTAATATTATGGTTGTTTTACAATGTATTCTAATGTCAAACCACATAAGCCTGCGCGAAATGAAAAGATCTTATCATGAAAAGATGGACTTCTCTGATACCCAATATTTAAGACACAATGAACATTTTAAAATTGGCACATGGAGGTCCTTAAAAAGTTCCACAAAACTATTAATTATTAAAATGCATCATAAATGAGGATAGCTCATGTACCTCAAGACTTACCTTGTTAACTTCATGCATACTTTTGAACAAGACCTTGCCACATGTTGCTCCATTTGTGCTAAGAAAAACATTCATCCCAGAGAAAATTGTAATAGCCTTTCAATGGCAATAGGACTGTTACTACAGACGATTGGGTGATTGGGTCGTTACTGATATTTCATCTTAGGCTAAAAAATATACCTGTGTTTATGGATATCGTTTGATATCAATTAACTTGTGAAATTAATTAATATTATTTTTATTTTTTTTTACAGAGAGAACATCAAAAGAAAAATTGAAAATGTCAAAGCATTCTGTCTCCAATAAAACCTATAAATGTGATGTTTGTGGTAAATCATTTGCCAATAGTAGTAATCTACAAAGACACACCAGAACCCATCCCAGAGAAAAGGCCTTTACTTGTGATGTTTGTGGAAAATCTTTTATCACCAGTAAAGATCTACGACGACACACCAGAACACATACTGTAGAAAAACGCTTTTCTTGTGATGTTTGTAGTAAATCATTTACCACTAGAAGTCAACTAGATTCACACACCAGAATTCATACTGGTGAAAAACCCTTTATTTGTGATGTTTGTGGAAAATCATTTACCAGTAGTAGTCACCTACAGCGACACATCAGAACTCATAGCGGAGAAAAACCCTTTTCTTGTGATGTTTGTAGTAAATCATTTACCACTAGTAGTAATCTACATGAACACACCAGAACTCATACTGGTCAGAAACCCTTTACTTGTGATGTTTGTAGTAAATCATTTACAACTAATGCTAGTCTAAAACGACACACCAGACTTCATACTGGCGAAAAACCCTTTTCTTGTGATGTTTGTAAAAAATCGTTTTCAGATATTAGTAATCTACATTTACACTCCAGAAATCATACCGGAAAAAACCCCTTTACTTGTGATGTTTGTAGTAAAGCATTTTCAACTAATGCTAGTCTACAACGACACACCCGAACTCATACTCATCGTGTAACATAATGTTTTTCAGCGCCATCTGTAACAAGGACCCAAAGACCGAGGCTAGGTGACGCAATATTCTTATCTAGGCTAGACATATTCCACATGTCATGTCAGATGGTGACCTCATATTCTTATAATAGCATGCGCGATAAATACTACTGGTGTAGATTGGAATAACCAAACGCTAGAGATTGCCATTCGGTTGTGACTTCTGGCGTATTTCGCAGAACATACATGTAACTGATTAGAAATTACAGTAAACACAGAAATGATTGAATGTAAATCAGTTTATATACATTCATAATACATTATTATATGCGTTGTTACCCATTTGTGTCAATTTCTAGGTCCCAAATATTAGCGGTGACAGGTGTGTTTAGAAGTGGGAGAAAACAAATGCCCAATCCATTCCATTCTCATTGTAGAGAAAAATGACAGATGGAATGAAATGGGGTTTAGAGATACTTTCCCTGTGTACAGTGGCGGCGCCAGCCGTCGGTGATTGGAGGGGCGAAGCTGGGGCAAAGTCCAAGGTTAAGGGGACAAAGGCACGAGCTTCAACTAGGGGAAGGGGGCCTCCCCCAGAAAATTTTGAAAAACAGGTTGCCGGAAATGCAGCCTGGCAGTATTTCAGGCACTGATCGAGAGGTAAAGTGTCAAACGAACGGACTTGTGAATCATGACGAAGCCCACTCAAGAGCGTCAAAGTAAGGAGTCATCCCCCAGAAAAGTTTGAAAAATAGACTGCCGGAAATGCTGTCTTACAGTATTCTGTCAGGCACCGATCGTCGAGATAAATAGATCTGACCAGATACCGTCCGTCGCCTGATCACTAGTTTATCTGACTAGAGAACAGAATGTCAAACGAACGGACTTGCGAACCTCAACGAATTCCCCTTGTGAGCACCAAAGTAGCGAGTCCATTGGGGACCTTGCCAAGAAAATTTTGAAAAATAGACTGTCGGAAATGCTCTACAACATGCAAGTTTATGACTGCCTGTGTAAAAACTGTATGATTTGATGATACATGTATATTTGGACTAAAACATATTCAAACTAATTAATCCCTCTGGAAACTTTGTATTCGCTGGGAGATACCTCAAGCTATAAATAAACTGTTATTAGAAAGACATGTTTGTCACCTAACTTTATTGAGGGAGGGTCCATTTTTCAGAATGTATTTTTCATTACTTGCTGTGCATTTACAATGTACCATACATATTGTACCATACATATTGTACCATACGCATCTTGGGTCCTAATGATCTCAGGACATGTCTATTGGACAATAACACCCCTCTTATATCGAATTACAACTGTCAAGGGATCTTTACGTGCACGCCAATGTGTACACGGGACCTCAGTTTTTTGTCCCATCACTGACAAGGGGGAACCACGCCTGAAAATCTGGATGAACTGTCTCGGCCAATGCAGGGATCGAACACCCGACCTCCAGGCTAGCGAGCCAGCGTCTTACCCACTTAGCCACGTGATCCCCACCTTCTTTGGAAAATCCCTATGAACTTTTACGGTCAACAAAAGGATTGAACATGGTACCTACAGGTTAGCGAGCCAATGTCTTACTCACTGATCATGAGTTATTGTTGCTCTCAGGTAGGCAGATGACAAAAGAAACTTGTCTGGTACAAGTCCATCGGGATAGGGTTCAGAATAAAATTTGCAAAATGGAGATGTATTTAAAACTCAAAAGGGGTTTATAGTCAATTCAACACTAAACCATTTTGGGATATTTGTGATGTTTTCAAGCAAGAACGAGCAGGTCGAGAGTAAACAAATTAATCAGCAGTAAACACTGGAATAATTATCGAGCCAAAATATCAATGCCATGTCATAGACGTCACACAAGGAATGCATATGAACTTTATAAAGGTCAGTCATCTTAAACGGAATACAGTACCTCTGTGAAACAGATTGCCAACTTGAATGTAACAAAGACTTAAGGCCATCATGTTGATCGTTAACATAGGATGTAGTAATACAAACTGGGCCCAATTGCCACCTTTTACTCATTTTGCACTTTCTACTACTTTATATACCCATGTACACTAAATAAAAAATATTTTTTATCCATATATACTTAAAAAACTTCAAAAATTTCTCTTGATAATTTAAGAGATAGGTTGTCTCAGACAACAAGACATACACCCAGAGTTGTCACATATTTTAATGGGAGCATTACTATTTTATATACCCATTCATACTAAATATAAAAATACTTTTTATCAAGATATACTTCAAACAACTTTTTTCTTAATATTTTGAAAGACAGGTTGCCATGCCAACGAAACATTTTAGTCAGTCATTAAGAGTTGTCGCATAGTTATTGTTTTGTAGGTAATTGAAGCATTTAAAAGCTCTAAAAACTGATCAAGAGTAACAACCAATTAAGACATAATAAACGATAGTAACAGCCAAACAAAATATTTAGGCTACTGAGTGTGGATCACATTGTATTCAGAAACCCAACTCCTATCTGTACAGTGTTCAGAATGAAATTTAGTTGATTTGATCTCATATGATCTATCTTTTTGATGCAATACTATTATAATTGATATTATAATTTGAATACAATATTATTATAAATAATACCACAATTCGAACACAATAATGACGAATCCAAAAGTCCAGACATGAGTTACTCGGGTTGGAGAAGATCCAAGTCATATTTGAAACTCACCCAATGTTAAAACTAAAAAATGGCGGTTAACTGATTCCAGCAGTCAAGAGTTTCATTAATTGATATAAGATACCTGCTTAAGATGCATTATATAATGTTCAGTTAGTATAATTGTTCTGAGTAAAGTTATATATGTTGGAAGTTTTGACAAGATTTCGCGTACATTGTTTATTATAGGAGCAACGGTACTTAACAGTTTAATTATTTCGTGTGGACTTATATAGCATTGTGTCTGTTCATGTGTGTGTTTGTTCACATTTTGTTTGTGGACCCTCTACAAGTCACATTTTTTATCTGATTTTGACTGAACTTGAAATATAGTTCAACAGACCAATTAATTACTCAACACCTTTTGAGAAACTATACAGTTGTATTTAAACCTAACACTCATTATCTATATATAAGCTAAAATTTGAAGTGACTTTATAGTTTTATTCATTATTGTTAAAGGTTATATAGGGGGATTGGATGCTGAATGGTTAGCATGAGCGCGCTGTATCATAAGGCATGTCATTGAGTCAACTGGCGGGGTTTCAATTCCCTAGTTTTACATGACAAGAACCCTGGTTTCCTCCCACTGCTAAAGACCCCTATGCGCAAGTGAATTATTGAAATAAAATTGAACCATATGTGTTAGTCCTTAAGTGACCTAGTTTGTGTCGAGTGGACGTTAAATCCAATTTCTCTCTCTCTCTTAAAGGTAATATTAATCTCATATGTCCTCAAATTGAATCTCTAACAAATATTTTCTGAAAAATGTTTTTAAAAAATCACATTTTTCATACTTGTCATTTCAGTTATTAACCTGTCACTTTTTAATATGCAGATAAAGTAGATCAAAAAACATGGTGGTCGTGAGCGACTCATAACACGTTTTAATTTGTGAAAAAAAATGGCATCCCCAGTTGCAGTTACACCCGAAAAGGTGTTAAAGAATGATGTTTGTATTTTGTGTGGATTTTCTTTCGTTCTCCGAGAAGTTACCTCATATGACGAATTTAAAGAAAGAAAACAGTATGAAAATCGATTGCCTGTTACTTGCGAAAGACTTGAAAAAATAAAGAAAATCAATTTACATAACTTTGAAAGTGACACAACTGTGGAAGACCTATATGACAGTGGTATACATGTATGTTCTACCTGTTTAAATAAAGTGGAGACTATTCTTAAATATGAAAATGACATTATACAACTAAAACTCGACCTGACAAAATCCAGAGAAAATGCTAAACAGTTATTATTACAACCCCAACAAGAAAGTATCGAAAGATTGCCCGGGTCGCCTTCATCCAAGCCTCCAATGGAACTCCAAATAACTTTAGTGCCACATGTTTTAGCGAAACTTCCTCAACAAACTGTACCTGTGCCTATTTTTGTAATGACAGTTCCAGCACAAGAAAAGGAAACTGTTACAAAAGGTATTATAAATTTCATGATATAGCATTTAAAGGAGGGCTCAAACTAGGGACAAATTTTAGGGAGAAGTGACTTCTCCCTACAGACAGAATAGGGAGACGTAGGGAGACTTGAAGGAGAGGTTATATTTCATGCATTGCTGCAACCAATCTTACCAAGTAGTTACACAGTCAATATGCTAAATAAATAAACAAACATCGTTTAGCTGCACACATATATTTATCTCAGTATGTCATCATACTCTTACTGGTATCAATATTACTGTGATAATAAATTACATATATACTAGTACTAAGACAGACTTGACTTTAGCAATACAAATAAGATTTGTGATACCCCTCTATCAAATACATCAATATTTATACCCTTTCGTGCCTAAATACATTTAATTACTAGTCCTGGGTCTATTGTGTGAATTTTTTAGCACCTTTCACAATAGGATAGTCATGTTGTTACGTAGTACGACAATGTATGAAATTATTGTTTTGACACACCACTCACTTACCTTCTTTGTTTTACGTTTATGTGTTTTAGATTAGTGGAACTAATAATATTGATGTAGATTTAATTATCAACCCGACATTATACCTATCAACACATTCTAAATACATGTTGTAATCATAATAATCGTTGAATACAACAATAATGTTAGTCTTAATTCTATAAAACATAAAAGATTTAATATTATGGTTGTATTACAATGTATTCTAATGTCAAACCACATAAGCCTGCTTGAAATGAAAAGATCTTACCATGAAAAGATGTACTTGTTGGCACATAAATTGCGTCCCAGAATGTTTTTGAGCACAATTTGCAATGACACGACTCAATGAACGATGTTAAACATATTCCAGGGGAGAATACTACCAGTGTATACGGGAATAACCAGATGCCAAAGAATGCCTCTCAATTGAGAATCTTCGCGTATTTCGCCGAACTTAACTGATTAGAATTTACTGTAAAAACAGAAATGGTTGAATGTAAATCAGTTTATATACAATCATATTACATTATTATATCAGTGTAATTAAATTATTGTAAATCAGTTTATATACATTCATATTACATTATTATATCAGTGTAATTACATTATTGTAAATCAGTTTATATACATTCATATTATATTATTATATGTGTTGCAACCCATTTATGTCTTGTAATCATCACCTCACACACCCCTCACACATTCACAACAAATTTGAACAATGGCTAACGGGTGTTAATTGAAGTAAATCGGACGATATTAATGTCATACCGGTAATAAATAACAGAAGAATATTGTTGAAATAAATTTATTCAAATAAATCAACATTTCTATAATAGGCCTAATGATAATGTTCGGGAAATTTATGTTTCTATCAGAAATACTAATGTTATTTCTGTAATTTTTGATTAACAAAATGGCGGCAAAAAATTCCTGATGCATCGATGCGAGAATCGATGTTTGCGTCCGATGCATCGATGCGTAAAATTTTACTTGATATCGGCACTATTTGTGTCCATATCTAGGTACAAAAGATTAATAATTAACTTCTTTAAATTAGCACAGAAAAGAAGCCTATTGAATTTCTGCTAAGATGATTTAGTTGATGTGGGCGTATGTTTCGTTGTATGGAAATCTATCTTACATTGTACCTGTCAGGTATAAAAATCACCTATTGCTGTTGGTGACCAGTAGACAGGTGAACATTTCGAGCCCTCAATGAATTCCTTAAAAAGTTTCACAAAACTATTAATTATTAAAATGCATCATAAATGAGGATAGCTTCCCCTTTAAGTTACACTAAGTGTACATGTACATGTACCTCAAGACTTGCCTTGTTAACTTCATGCATACTTTTAACAAGACCTTGCCACATGTTGCTCCATTTGTGCTTAAAAAATGTTCATCCCAAAGAAAATTGCAATGGCCTTTCAATGGCAATAGCGCCGTTACTAATGGCGATTGAGTTGTTACTAGTGTTGTCACGATTACAAAATTCTTGAATCGGTTAATCTTCAAGCCAAAAATTGTATCGGTGCCGATTAACCAGATACCGTATAAATTCTATAATGGCAATGTCTGTACTGCGTTCCAAGGTTTTTTTCTTGTGTTTTTTTGTTAATAATTAAATTATAAAATGACGCGTGAACACTGAATAGCTGATTGTATATTATTGTAGTACATTTCGTTGAGTTTGTGCTAAAGAGATGTTGGAATAAATCGTTTAAATTGGCAATAAACAACATTTACAAGGTTATTAGTTTTGATATTTAGTTACGCGGTTGAGCTGAGTAAGACATTCCTGTATTCTGACTTACCCCGGCTACAGCTTTAACTGCTAATTAAAAATCAGATACTGGCAATAAATTACAATTCACTAGTACAACAATTCCCGTACATAATATTTTAACATATATAGCGATAATCATATTGACGAAAAACACACGAGAAGCCGTGGAAACCGGTACAAATAGAAAAGAACACATGTCATTTGAAAGGCGGCAACATACATGTACATGTATGCGGAGAGGGGGGGGCGAATAGAAGATCCTCCTGACTGGTAATGTCAGGAACTCGTTGATTCGTTGTCTCATACACAGTAACTGCACATTCTGATTGTGAATTAAATAATAAATTATAACTGGAATTAATTTATACTGGAGGAATTTCTGACGGAATCTTTCCATTATGTTGTTGGAGCATTGTTTTCTTCTTTATAAAACAGTATTTTATTAAAAAATACATTGGCAGTTTATCACTCATAAAAAGGCGTAGCCAACTCCCCTGTCTCTTGCGGCATGCATTCAATCCATGTATTATAATGCTCATGTTATTATCATGTCTGTTGTTGAGAGCTATTTCGCGCAAAAATCAACCATTTTACACATTAGTAAGCCATGCCTAATATGGTAGGCTAATAATTCCGTGCGACATTGAGATCGTGCCTCTGTAAAAGAGAATTTCTGTATAGCCTCTCAAAAGACGTACTTTCCATACGGTTTTAATAGGCAGCAATTCAGCAAAAGTCAAACATATGTAATTGTATAAATATAAATTGGATGAAACGACTACTGATCTTTCAAAATGTGAATCAGTTTGAGCTAGAAACCGAATCGACTAGGACTAAACCGATTAATGGTGACAACCCTAGTCGTTACTGATATTTCATCTTAGGCTAAAAAAATATACCTGTGTTTATGGATATCTTTTGATATCAATTAACTTGTGGAATTAATTAATATTATTTTTATTTTTTTTACAGAGAGAACATCAAATGAAAACTTGAAAACTTCAAAAGAAAACTTGAAAACATCAAAAGAAAAATTGAAAACATCAAAAAAAAAAATGAAAATATCAAAGCATTCCGTCTCCAATAAAACCTATAAATGTGATATTTGTGGTAAAACATTTACCACTAGTAGTCAGTTGGAATCCCACACCAGAACTCATACTGGCGAAAAACCCTTTTCTTGTGATGTTTGTAGTAATTCATTTGCTCGTCGTCGTCAACTATATTTACACACCCGTACTCATACTGTAGAAAAATCCTTTTCTTGTGATGTTTGTGGTAAATCATATACCACTAAAGGTCATCTACGTTTACATACCAGAATTCATACTGGTGAAAATCTCTCTAAATGTGATGTTTGTGGAAAATCTTTTACCACGAGAAGTCAACTACTAAAACACACCATAATTCATACTGGCGAAAAACCCTTTTCCTGTGATGTTTGTAGTAAATCATTTGCTCGTCGTAGTCATCTATATTTACACACCCGAACCCATACTGGCGAAAAACCCTTTATTTGTGAGGTTTGCGGAAAATCATTTACCAGAAGTAGTGGTCTACGTGTACACACTAGATTTCATACCGGCGAAAAACGTTTTTCTTGTCATGTTTGTAGTAAAGCATTTACCACAAGTCATGATCTACGTGTACATTCGAGAGTCCATACGGGAGAAAAACCCTTTTCGTGTGATGTTTGTAGTAAAGCATTTTCAACTAATGCTAGTCTAAAACGACACACCAGAATTCATACTGGCGAAAAACCCTTTTCTTGTGATGTTTGTAAAAAATCGTTTTCAGATATTAGTAATCTACATTTACACTCCAGAAATCATACCAGAGAAAACCCCTTTACAGGACAAAAACCCTTTTCTTGTGATGTTTGTAAAAAATCATTTACTGCTCGTAATAGTCTATATTATCACATCAAAATCCATACATTAGAAAAACCCTTTTCTTGTGATGTTTGTAGTAAACCATTTATCACCAGTAAAGATCTACGACGACACACCAAAACACATACAGGAAAAAAACCCTTTTTTTGTAATGTTTGTTATAAATCATTTATCACCAGTAGTAGTCTACAACGACACATCAAAATTCATACTGTTGAAAACTCCCTTTCTTGTGACGTTTGTAGTAAATCATTTATCACCAGTCGTAGTCTACAACGACACACCAAAATTCATACTGTTGATAACCCCTTTTCTTGTGATGTTTGTAGTAAATCATTTATCACTCATAGTGCTCTACATCAACACACCAGAATTCATACTGTAGAAAAAGCCAGTATTTGTGATGTTTGTGGAAAATCTTTTAGCACTAGTGGGAATCTACATAAACACATCAGAATCCATACTGGTGTAAAACCGTTTACTTGTGATGTTTGTGGTAAATCATTTACTGCACGTAGTGATCTACGTGTACACTCTAGAATCCATACCGGAGAAAAACCATTTTCTTGTGATGTTTGTAGTAAAGCATTTTCAACTAATGCTAGTCTACGACGACACATGGGAACTCGTACTCATCGTGTAACATAATGTGTTTCAGCGCCATTTGTAACAAGGGACTCAAAGATCGAGGGTAGACATATTCCAACGGTGACGTCATATACTTATCTGGAGAGCATGCACAATAAATACTACCGGTGTAGATTGGAATAACCAGACGCTAGAGATTGCCATTCGGTTGTCACTTCTGGCGTATTTCGCAGAACATACATGTAACTGATTAGAAATTACAGTAAACACAGAAATGATTGAATGTAAATCAGTTTATATACATTCATAATACATTATACGCGTTGTGACCCATTTGTGTCCCATTTGTGTCAATTTCTAGGTCCCAAATATTAGCGATTAAGCTCCTGTAATTCAGGGGTGACAGGTGTGTTTAGAAGTGGGAGAAAACAAATGCCCAATCCATTCCATTCTCATTGTATTGAAAAGTGACAAGTTTAGGCAGATGGAATGAAATGGGGTTTAGAGATACTTTCCCTGCGTAAAAACTGTATGATTTGATGATACATGTATATTTGGACTAAAACATATTTAAACTAATTAATCCCTCTGGAAACTTTGTATTCTCTGGGAGATACCTCAAGCTATAAATAAACTGTTATTAGAAAGACATGTTTGTCACCTAACTTTATTGAGGGAGGGTCCATTTTTCAGAATGTATTTTTCATTACTTGCTGTGCATTTACAATGTACCATACATACTGAGGCCTAAAAAAATTCTTAATCATTTTCTATCAACTTCTTTTTCTGTCGTTTAATTGCAGTCTTTTGTATGTCGACACCCCTCAATGTTCCAAAAACCGCCTAACCATTTGCAATAAGAAATAACAATGGCTCCCTTAGTCAATGAAGCACACAATAAGCTGGCAGACAACAGTCCGGTTGCCAGTTAGTGATACCCTGACATTTTTGCCAAGTGCTTGCCCCATTGGTATTTTTCTAGTAAGATTGGGAATCTACATGTATACTGTCCTTATATACCAAATTTACCATACTTTTATTGGAAATAACCACCCAATAAATAATTTTGGGACAATGTATCTTTAATGTCTAATTGTTCTGCTCCGACTAGGCTAATGAAGACGGGCATACAATGCACAGTGTGCTGTGAAGACAATATTGCCTGGAAAGTGGCACTACCGCCTACTCCCATATCAAAATTCCAACTGCCAAGGGATCTTTTATGTGCACTACATAGGAAATATTTTTATACGCCCACATTTTCATGTGGATGTATTTTGTCGTCGCCCCTGTCCATCCGTCCACTATTGTTTGTGAACACTCTACAGGTCACAATTTTTATCTGATTTCAGCAAAACTTGAAATATAGGTTTATCTCCCTAAGATCTCGGTTCCTTTTGATATTGGCATGTATCGGACCGTATCTTCATGGATTATGGCCCCTGATTGTACGTAAAATCGTGTTTTTAGCTTGTGGACCCTATAGAGGTCACAATTTTTATCCGATTTTGTTGAAACTTGAAATGTAAGTTTATAACCCAACGATCTCTGTTCCTTTCGATATTCGCGCATATCGGACCATAACTTCCTGAATTATGGCCCCTGATTGTATGAAAAATCACGTTTTTAGCTTGTGGGCCCTATAGAGGTCATAATTTTTATCCGATTTAAAAATTTTTTTGAATATATCACCATTATACACTATTTCGTAAAAATTGGACCAAAAATGACAGAAATGAAATGAAATGGGTTTTAACGTCCTACTGTTTTGCTCCGAACTGGGCTAATGAAGACGGGCATACTATGAGGGAAATTTTGCCCAGTCAGCAGCACGGGACCTCGGTTTTTCATCTAGTCTGAGTAACTAGACAGCTGTCCTTGTCAGGCCCTCCTTCCTGCATCACTGACAAGGGGGAACCACGCCGGAAAATCTAGATGAACTTTCTCGGCCAATGCAGGAATCGAACACCCGACCTCCAGGCTAGCGAACCAGTGCCTTACCCACTTAGCCACCGTGATCTCCCAAAAATGACAGACAAAATGGCCGCCCCTCGTATGCAAATAGTGTATAACATCTGGTATATCAAGGCTGTGGACCCTCTAGAGGTCACAATTTTGATCCGATTTTGATGAAACTTGAAATACATGTTTATAACCCAAAGATCTTGGTTCCTGTTGATATTCGCGCATATTGGGTCGTAACTTCCTGAATTATGGCCCCTGATTATACGAAAAATCACATTTTTAGCTTGTGGTCCCTGTATCCGATTAAAAAAAAAACATGTGAATATATCACCATTACACACTAAGATCTTGGTTCCTTTTGATAATCACGCATATTGGAACGTAACTTCCTGGATTATGACTCCAGATTGTTCGAAAAATCGCATTTTTAGCTTGCACAATTTTTTTTTTGATTTTAAAAACCGTTTAAATATATCACCATTCCACCATAATGAAGGTTGAATTCAAATTTCGGGAAAATCGAAATGAAACAGCCTGACAAAATGGCCGCTCTTTGTACGCAAATTGTGTAAAAGTATGCAATATGAAGGTTGTGGACCCTCTAGAGGTCACAATTTTTATCTGATTTTGATTAAGCTTAAAAAATAACTTTATATCCCAAAGATCTCAGTCCCTTGTGACATAAAATATTTCCTATGTAATGCACATAAAAGATCCCTTGGCAGTTGGAATTTTGATATGGGAGTAGGCGGTAGTGCCACTTTCCAGGCAATATTGTCTTCACAGCACACTGTGCATTATATCCCAAAGATCTCAGTCCCTTGTGACATTTGCACAATTCAGACCATAACATTCTGGATTATTGCCCCAGATTGTACAAAAAATCCTGTTCGTTTTTAGCTTGTTCTCTATCCATCTCTTGCAAAATGTGGGCGTATCCTGCCTGGCAGCCGCTGGTTCTCTCTCTCAGAAAACGATCAACCCAAATAAAAGATCAACCCAAAGAAAATTTCGGAAAATGTAAGAGCTGCATAGAGACAAGAATTCAAGTCTCCATGGTGACCGAGTCGTTACTGAATAATTATCAGAGGTTAAAGAAATATACCTGTGTCTATGAACTGTGAAACTGTGAAATTGAAGATACTATATGGCAGATTAAAAAATGAGCTGGCTGTTCTCACTATAATAGTTAAAAACTACATAATGTAGCGGGAATTTGCTGAAAATTTCAGTCAAATTGATCCACTCTGAACCGAGATTTTAGCGATTGAATTTTCGGCCTAGCCTTGATCATTACTAAAGTCGTTACGATAAAAAACATAGTCTTAATGATCCACTTTTTGATTTCCTCATCAGCAGCAGACCGGGTTCTAATCCAGTAAATATCGCAGGCTAGCGATGACATCGAGAGTTGATTATGATCTGGATAAGTTAATTATGTCTAATTTATAATTTAGATAACATTTCAGGCCTAAGGAAAGACCTGCAATAGGCAGATTTAGCTCTTGCATAATGTATGTTCAATTAATATTATTTTTTTACAGAGAAAATCAAAAGAAAAACTGAAAATGTCAAAGCATTCTGTCTCCAATAAAAGCTATAAATGTGATATTTGTGGTAAATTGCTAAGAAACTCTTCTGGTTTAAGTAGACACATTATGATTCATACTGAAGCGAAACAATATAAATGGGATGTTTGTGATAAATCATTTATCACACGTGGTAGTCTACAGATAGACACCAGAACTCATACTGGAAAAAACCCTTTTCTTGTGATGTGTGTAAAAGATCTTTTATCATTAGCATTAACCTATATGCACACACCAGAATTCATACTGGTGAAAAACCCTTTTCTTGTGATGTTTGCAATAAATCATTTACCACTAGAAGTCTTCTACAGGAACACACCAGAAGTCATGCTGGAGGAAAACCCTTTTCTTGTGATGTTTGCAATAAATCATTTACCTCTAGTAGTCTTCTACATCAACACACCAGAATTCATACTGGTGAAAAACCTTTTTCTTGTGACGTTTGTTGTAAATCTTTTAGATGTAGTAGTAATCTACATTCACACACCAGAAGTCATGCTGGAGGAAAACCCTTTTCTTGTGATGTTTCTGGTAAATCATTTGCACACGGTGCTAGTCTGCATAATCATAAAACAATTCATACTAGAACAACGCACTGGTGAAAAATGATGTTTGTGGTCAATCAATATATGGCGGTATATTAGATTCAAAATTCTAACATGCTATTGTCTAATTTCTAACTTCTATTCATATAATTTCTAAATTAAGACAATGTATAATCCAACTTCTGTATTTTTTCAGTGTAAATTTTAATTCTGTTTCATCTTATTTCTATTATTTGGATGAAAAATGGCTACTTCATTGTCACTTTACAGGTTAATCATCAATGTCGAACAAATTTAGAATTTTGATACTTCTACCTAGCAATCATCATCATGACGTCGTTTGGTGTTGCCACACTGTGCTAAGTTTGACGATTGAGCACCTGATCGGGACCATTATGTTGATACAAACGACTCGCTCTTCGTCAAGTTGAATGGTTTCACTGAGTGTTGAAATTGAAAACAACATCGAATGTGATAGGGTTTGCAAACACTATTTCAAATATAAGCTAAACAGCATTTTTTTGAAGACAAGCACAGGATATGGATAATTTTATTTGATTTTTTTTTTACAGTTAAGCCGATTTATTTTTATATACTGTTGGTCTATTATTCTTTACTGCTCTAAAAATGTCTCTTTATATTATATACCATCCGAACGACTAGTCACTGTCCGTGCCAGACCCCCGTCCTGTATCAATAACAAGGGAGGGAGAACCCCGCCGAAGATATCGGTTATATCATAGAAATATATATCTATGGACATAGTCAGCTAGTATACACACTGGAAAAACTAAGCTTTATAATATTTCTGACATTATTAGTTCCGTCCCTGTGATTTGCGGAGGCTGCAATTATTGTAGGCAGGGGCAGTGTCTAGTCGTTCGAATCGGACGAAAACCCTTGAAAGCTGTAATTCGTAATAAAAGTGGACCGTGGCGCTGCTTTCCGGGCTAAATTTCACCCTTGGCACACTGTATGGCATTAGTTCGTTTTCATTATCCAAATTAGAGTAGAAAAGTAGGACGTTAAACCCCATTTCATTTTGGTTTAATTTCGTCAAGAACACCCCTATCTATGATATTCCCTAACGCTTTATGCAACTTGAATAAAATATTGTTGGAAAAAAACTACCATAAAATTAGTCAGAAATAAAGACTTCATCCCTATCCACATGAACAGATTATCTTGGTCTTCTTTAAAGACTGTTTTATCTCCACAATATGGGATTTCTAAATTTATGTCTTTGAACCATTTCAAGAAAAAGTTTAACATTATACATTAAAGTGACATTTTTGTTAGAGCAGTAACAGAATACAGATCAACAGTATATAAATATTAATATTGGCTTAACTGTAAAAAAAATCAAATAAAATTATCCAAATCCTTCACTCGTCTTAAAGGGACAATAACACTCTTGCTGGCTTCGCAGTCCAGAAAATAAATAATAGCCTTATTCTAAGTATTAGATGTTTATGTGTCCTACATGTTGTGTAAATGGGGGGTTGGATGGCTGAATGGTTAGCGTGCGCGCGCTGTATCATAAAGTCTGTCATTGAGTCGACTGGCGTGGTTTCGAATCCCCGGTTGTACGTGACAAGGAGTAGGGTGGCCTGTGTGTGTTAAGATGAAATTTGTATCATCAATTAATTGGAATATTGTAAAATAGTACAATTTGTTAACTAGAATTAAGATTGGGATATATTATTCAGTTACAACAAGAGTGGTATTGAGCCTTTAATTAGTAGTTTGTTATTACTGAAGGATATTCTAATTTATCAACCTTCACTATCCAGCTCTGATATAATAACCCATAGGGAATCAAAATCATTGTCTTCTGATATTTGTAATAAATCATAGACATTATTATAAAACTTTATAAACATATAAACAAGAAAAATAAAATATGTACAGAAGTTTAATTAGTTTGTTATTACTGAAGGATATTCTAATTTATCAGCCTTAACTAGCCGACCATTTGAACACACATACAGATATTATAATTATTTTTTTTAGTGGCATTTAGTAACTGGGAAGAATAATAAGCTATAACACATACTTAGGAAAACAGCTACTTATTTATTTGGGTGATATTTCAAAGTGTATTCAAGGTTATCAAACTAATGTTATTATCATTAAATTATGTTAAATCATCACAATCTTGAGTCTCTCATTGTCAATAACTGGTTCGATCATTGTCAATAACTGGGTCTACCATTGTCAATAACTATTCTGTAGTACAAAGCTGAAATTTCCTTGATTCTGAAATTCATCATCTATTGGGTTGGCTGATTGAGTGGTCTGATGTGTGTTCTTTGAGTATAAGGTCAGTCATTGAGTCAAGTGGCTAGGTTTCGCACCTAGACTTGTATCTTGTCCCCTGACTACCTTCCAGTGATTGAAAAATAATTGTACCAAAATGACATCTCTCTCTGTTTCAAAATAACCATTTTTGATTATACTAATTTCAAATGGTGAAATTTGTTTCAGAAAATTGAATAACAGCCCCCAAACAGATTTAAACTTTCAGTCAAAGTCATTTTGTTTTGTTTATTTCGGACAGATAAAATGATCAAAACTGGCTTTGAGAGAGAGAGAGAGAGTGAGAAATGGGGTTTAACGTCCACTTGACACAAACTAGGTCATTTCGGGACTAACATATGGTTTAATTTTATATCAATAATTCGCTTACGCGCAGGGGGTCTTTAGCAGTGGGAGGAAACCGGAGGACCCAGAGAAAACCCACGAGGTTGGACAGGCGACCCTACTCCTTGTCACGTACAACCGGGGATTCGAAACCACGCCAGTTGACTCAATGACAGGTCTTATGATACAGCACGCACGTGCTAACCATTCGGCCATCCAACCCCCCAAACTGGCTTTGAATTCAGAATGAAATTCATACAATTTAATTGGATTTAGATTGGAACATGAAAATATAAGATCATTTTCAACATGGACAAATAAATTGTTTTTAATTCATCCTTGTCAGTGATGTTAGCAGCTAAAAGAATATTTACTATGGAACAGTCTGCATTCAGAAAACCAACTCCCATCGGTACAGTGCTCAGAATGGAATTTAGTTGGACTTACACTCACCTGATATAAATAATATCAAAACTATTATAAATGATAATAAAATTTTAATACAATTCAATATTATTAAAATACAGATCTATATTTCGTTTCGTTTTTTTATATTTTCGATGGCCTACACTAAATGAAGATCCGACCAGTTTTACTGGCAAGTCGCATCATGATTAATCAATCAGCGTTGACGTTTCTAGGGGGTTTACCCACACTTCCGTGCAGAGAACGCCAAAAACTCGCCGTAACAGACTGTTTCATTGGCTAATTGTTCATATCAACTAGAACGCCTGTTATTTAATAACTCTTCCAGATCCCAGTGTTGTGAAGACAAGTAAAACCTAATTTTGAACTATGAAAAACGAAATGAAATAGTATCTGTGTTTTAATCAGATTGAATACAATTAGCAAAAAACTGAAAGTTAGTGTTGATAAGTTGCAGTGACAATTATTAATTGGGATTTCTCTTCTACATCTCCATCAAATATAGATTATATTTAACCTCTGAAACAATGACGAATCTTCATGTCCAGACATGAGTTACTCGGGATGGAGAGGTTCCAAGTCATATTTTAAACTCAACCAATGTAAAAAAAATGGCGACCATCTGATCGAGCAGTCAAGAGATCGTTGTAGTATTTTAATATATCGTACCGGTATTTAACTTCATTATAGATGTTTAACGTGCATTATTTAAAGTTCAATTTAAAGGCTCAATACCACTCTTGTTGTAACTGAATCATGTCCCAATATGTCTTAAAACATCTAATTTAAAAAATTTGAAAAATTCAACTACTGTCTGATTCATCGTAAATTTTAAACGGATTTCTTCGATTATGAACAAACTACTTAACTTTGGTTATTATAAACTTACCTGTGTGTTTGTAATGAACTCCCGTTCGATAAAATCCATTGCACAACTAATTATCACAACAATGAGAACAATTTCTCTCTTGAAAAATTTGAAAATTTACTTGTAATTTCGACAGAGGCGATGTCAACAATGTCTTCGTGACGTATTGGTCGAATCCAATATACCTGTTGCGGGGGTTGGTTAACATTGAAAGATAGTTTGACAGCGCGATCATTTTGATCGTATATGGGTTTGGGCGACGAAAAATATCAATTGAAGGCAATTACATTGGAGATTTATATGGAAACCATTGATCGCCAGTCTATCAAATTTTCATCACAATTAAAATATCACTGATTGCACGGATACTCGTAAAAATAAAGTCATGAATAAACTATAAATATCCTATCTTCTTTATGTTATAAATAATTTAACAAGGATCATGAAGCTTAACTCCGAATTCTCTGAGTGTATTTTTAATTTTATACGCATTCTTTCGATCGAATAATAACCGCTTCAGTAACATCTTTAAGCGTGTTGCGGCAGCCCTCAGCGTGTCTATTGCCATATTGGGTGCCCGGGTGGGTATATAATGCTACTAAGCCCGTATGACCCCGTAAGAAGCGGAACATTAATTCTCGATTCGACAGTTTTGACCGAAGTGTGATAAAGCCCGTAAAACGAATGTATAGTTGTGTTTGTGCGGCATGCGTGTTCAAAAGTAAATAATCCCATCCGAGTCTCTAATCAAATAATTAGAACAAAATATTTCAAAAAGTAAGGCTATAAAATTTGCAGAGATTTTACTAGAATGTAAAAGACGGTAACTAAATACAGGAATGCGGGTAGTTATGTGTGCGAACGCTCAAACTCAATGCCAATTGTCGTAGGTATTCGGACCAAAGACTACTCGGACTAAGACCAGTCGGAACAAAACAAGACCAGTCGGACCAATTAAATTATATTATAAGGCTAGACAATATGCTATTTATTTATTATTAAATCACAATACAAAGAAGCAAATAATTCTTATACGGAATTCTTATATTTAGAGTTGTTTGGTTCAATTTTGTGTACGTAAATAAATCAACGATTAGTTTTAAAATTAATTAATAATGGTGCAAAAAAAAAAAATATCAATCTAATTTTTCTTTACTCTTGCAATGAGACTCGGTATTTCCAGACTTTTGACAGTTTCTACATATACGGGTATACTGTTCTTGTCTGATAGCCTAATTTTACTTTTTCCACATTCACGGTATCCCCAGTGGTTTCATTCCGTTCTACCCCACTAACCCCTGGGTTACTATATATGGGGGGGGGGGGGGGGGTGGAGACACGTTTTCAAGTTATCCGCCCTTGATGCGTTAATATAAACAGCACATAATAATACAAAGACCGGACGTTTATATGCCCCTTTTTAAACGTGACTACAAGTGTGGTTCTCGATATTTTGCGATTTGGAATACAATTATCAATTTATTCAAACAACACGTTATTAGTAGTTCGAGTAGTCATATTAAAACACACACAATTATCAATTTATTCAAATAACACTTTATTATTGGTTCGAGTAGTCATATTAAAATAAACACAATTATCAATTTATTAAAATAACACTTTATTATTGGTTCGAGTAATTATATTAAAACAAACGCAATTATCAATTTATTAAAACAACATTTTATTATTGGTCCGAGTCGTCTTTCTGTTGGGTCCGAATAGTCTTTTTGTATGGTCCGAGTAGTCTATTTGTTTGGGCTGAGTGGTCTATCACTTGGTCCGACTGGTCTTGAACCGAGTGATCTTTGGTCCGAGTGGTCATGGATTCTTGTCGTAATTGTACTTGAATTTCCTATACTGTCACCCCTAATACGAAATGATATCTTCCGCAGAGTGACGTAACCATCTTCCATATTGGTATTTTTCTCTGGGAAAAGTTTGTGATATTTCAATTTTTCAAGAGAAAACTTGTTTTCATCGTTGTGATAATTAGTTGTGCAATGGATTTTATCGAACGGGAGTTCATTACAAACACACAGGTAAGTTTATAATAACCAAAGTTAAGTAGTTTGTTCATAATCGAAGAAATCCGTTTAAAATTTACGATGAATCAGACAGTAAATGATTTGAAAAGCCTGGCGTAAAGCTTTTCAAATGTGACTTGGATTTAAATATATTTTTGAACACTTTGGACAAGTAAAATAGTATTTAATGGATAATTTACACAACAGGTAGGACACTAACACATCTAGTACTTAGAGTAAGGCTATTTTTTTATTTTCTGGAGCTGTCAAGCCAGCAAGAGTGTTATTGTCCCTTTAATATGAATAAATATAACAAATAACTTAAAGATGCATTATGTGGGTAAATTTGTGTGGATTTGGGTCAATCGTAATACTGCCATCGCAAACTTCATCATTGGGATTAAAAATGTGTCTAGACAGAAAATAATCAATACAAAATCAAAATCTCCATGACACTTGTAGTTATGTTATAAATAACACATTGTTAACATTCTTATGACTTCTCCATTGTTATGACTTTGTTGTTCCAGTAAAGTAGGATGTTAAACTATATAGTGATCGAGGGTATTTCTACAAGTACCCAGTTGGTGTTCCAAGGCATCCTCAATAATAACATTGTTACCTATTTAAAGTCTAAAGCATAATCTGAGCCGCAGCTACGGCAAAACAGCAATATATAGGTTAAATCCTGCTAGTAGCACGGGACTACGTGGATAGGTGGAAGTAGTCCCGGTTATCTTGACGAACACCTGTATTATACAGGGCAAAATCACAACAACTATATTTCATTTCTAAAAGTGGTATGGTTGATTATTTATGCCACATGCATTATCAATTAATATTAATTATTTACTGTATTCAGGTTCATTTTCCGACATGGTATCCCCTTGTCAGTGGTGCAGGACAAGGACAAATTTCTAGTCGTTCGGATGTGATGAAAAACTGAGGTCCCATGTATACATTGGCATGCACGTAAAAGATCCCTTGACAGTTGGAATTCGATATAAAAGTAGGCCATAATGGCGCTGCCCGGGCAAAATTTCTCTCATAGCACACTGTATGCCATATGCCCGTCTTCATTAGCCCAGTCGGGGCAGAACAATAGGACGTTAAACCCCATTTCATTTCATTTCATTTATTCAGGTTCAGTATTTGTCGTCGAGTAGTGATGTAAAGGTTGAAACAGATGTTTACAAGCTGACAACTCATGAAATTTACAACTCGATTTATTTATTACTGTTAAAGGTAATATAACTTTATTAACATCATATTGTTCCTCAAAATGAATCTCTAACAAATATTAGGGTCGCCTGTCCAACCTCGTGGGTTTTCCTCCTGGGCCTCCGGTTTCCATTTCTCTCTCACTCTCTCTAACAAATATGTGTATATGTATTATTTATATGCCTCTCTAACCAATATTTTCTCTAAATAAACTCAGTATTTCAGGCATCAAAATGTTTATGAAATTCACCTTTTTTTTCCATACTTAGGAGGGGGGAGGTGTGTGCGTTGTATCATAAGGTTTGTCATTGAGTCAACTGGCATGGTTTTGATTCCCTGGTTGTACATGACAAGGAGTAGGGTCTTCTGTCCAACCTGGTGGGTTTTCTCTGGGTCCTCTTCTTTCCTCCCACTGCTGAAAACCCTACGCGCAAGCGATTTATTGAAATAAAATTGAACCATATGTTAGTCTTGAAATGACCTAGCTTGTGTCGAGTGGACATTAAACCCCATTTCTCTCTCACTCCCCATATTTAGGAATATATGTCTAATGTTTTAGTTAGAAATGTTATGATTTGCAATGTTATGCACTATGGTAGTGTCAAACAGAAAAAAAAAAGAATAGATGGGGTGAAACTAGTTGTTTTTAATACCGTAGGCTGTGTTGAGAGCACTGTGTTAAACAGTAACATTGCGTTCGATCACCGCCTTTCGCAGTATTTATTCGTGGGTTATTTTTACACATAATCAAAAGTATGTGAGGTTGTATGTGAGTATTGTGGTTTGAACTCAATTTCTGTCTTCAGTTTTCATTTAAGTCAATTTACTGAACATAAAGTATTCACCTGAGGAAACCGGAGGACCCGGAGAAAACCCACGAAGTTGGACAGGTGACCCTTCTGTCTTCAGTATCCCAGTCAGTACAGAACAATAGGACGTTAAACCCCATTTAATTTTCATTGAAGTCAATTTACTGAACATAAAGTATTCACCTGAGTAAACCGGAGGACCCAGAGAAAACCCACGAAGTTGGACAGGTGACCCTACTCCTTGTCACTTAGAACTGGGGAATCTAAACCACGCCAGTTGACTCAGTGACAGACCTTATGATGCAGCGCGAACATGCTAACCATTTGGCCATCCAACTCCCCCTACATACTTTTGAGCAAGACGTGTTAAAATTGGGAAAATGCAAGAATTCATGTCCGTCCTCTGTTGGCTTTCAATAGATTGGCCTGTTATTGACTTCTTACCTGTGTTTATGAATAGTGTTTGAATTCAGTTAAATTCTGAAATTAATTAATATTATTTTTTTTTACAGAGAGAAGATTACAAGAGAAACTGAAAATGTCTAAGCATTCTGTCTCCAATAAAAACTATAAATGTGATATTTGTGGTAAATCATTTAAAGACTCTACTGCTTTAAATAATCATATTATGATTCATACTGGGGAGAGGCCATATAAATGTGATGTTTGTAAAAAATCATTTATCACTAGTAGTAATCTACAGCAACACATCAAAACCCATTCTGGTAAAAAACCCTTTTCTTGTGATGATTGTAGAAAATCATTTACCACTAGTAGTGGTCTACGTAAACACACCAGAACCCATACTGGCGAAAAACCCTTTTCTTGTGATGTTTGTAAAAAATCTTTTACCACCAGTAGTACTCTACAGGAACACACCAGAATTCATACTGGCGAAAAACCCTTTATTTGTGATGTTTGTGGCAAATCGTTTACACAACGTTGTAGTCTACATTCACACGCCAAAATTCATACTGGAAAAAATCTCTTTTCTTGTGATGTGTGCAGCAAATCCTTTACACAAATTTGTAATCTACATGTACACATACGAATTCATACTGGTGAAAAACCCTTTTCTTGTGACCTTTGTAAAAAATCTTTTACCACCGTAGGTGAACTACATGCACACACCAGAACCCATTCTGGAGAAAAACCCTTTTCTTGTGATGTGTGCAGCAAATCCTTTACACAAAATGGTAGTTTACAGAAACACACAAGAATTCATACTGGTGAAAAACCCTTTTCGTGTGATGTTTGTAAAAAAACTTTTACCACTAGGAGTCATCTAAAACAACACACCAGAATTCATACTGGTGAAAAACCCTTTTCTTGTGATGTTTGTAGAAAATCTTTTACCACCAGTGGTAATCTCCAGGCACACACAAGAATTCATACTGGTGAAAAATCCTTTTCTTGTGATGTTTGTAAAAAATCTTTTACCCATGGAAGTAACCTACACGCACACACCAGAACTCATTATAAAAAATAACATACTTATTAAAACCTGGAGCCAAGGTGCATTGGCCGAGAAAGTTCATAAGGATTTTTCAGCGTAGTTCCCCCTTGTCTGTGGTGCAAGACAGAGGGCCTGGCAAGGGACAACGTATAGTCTTCCGGATGGGACAAAAAAAAACAAGGTCCTGTGTACACTTGGCGTGTAGGTGAAGGATCTGTTGGCAATTTGATTTCGATATAAGAGTATGCCAGAGCACTACAGTCCAGTCAAAAATTCCCCTCATAGCACACTGTGGCATATTCCCATCTTCATTAGCCTTGTCAGAACAAAACAGAAGGATGTCAAACCCGATTTCATTTCATGTAAAAACTATTCCTGTAATGATTGTAGTAAATCATCTACATCAATTCAAGACAATCATACTCGTGAGCTGTGGACGGGGTAAAGGGGATAGTTTTTAATGGATTCTTTTCAAATTTGGTGGTAAACATTGTGGTCATGCAGCGGAAGTTGGGGGCAAAATCTATCGATGTTTACCGTTTTCCATATTGTGTTCCAGAGTTATGTCACTTTTGCCAAAAACTTTGTTTATATGATAGAGACTTTTAACTGATTTTAAGCATTGGGACCATGGTAGATTGAACCCTATCAATATTCAACACTTTGCTCCTTTCAGTTCCAGAGTTAACCCCCTTTTGCCAAAATGATGTTTGTAGCAAACCAACATGAACAAACCAGAAGTGGAGGAAAAACGCTTTTTTGTGATATTTGTATAAAATCATTTTGACAAAGTACCGCCAACGTGCTACAACAGAAGCGATATTGGAGAAATAAACTTTTTTTGTGACATTTGTAGTAATTCAAAAAAATGAAATGAAATGGGGTTTAACGTCCTACTGTTCTGCTCCTATGCTGGGCTAATGAAGATGGCCATACGCCATACAGTGTGCTATGAGGGAAATTTTGCCCGGACAGTGGCACTACAGCCTACTGTTATATCGAATTTCAACTGTCAAGGGATCTTTTACGTGCATTCCAATGTATACACGGGACCTCGGTTTTTCGTTTCATCCGTGTAGTAAATCAAGTTGAGATGTTTAAAAATGTACGGAAGTCCATCAGAGACAATGTTAATACATTAATTAAGACATTAATAAGATTATATTTATTTACTTACACCCCAGAGTATAAATCTATGTCCAAATATGGTTTGTCCATTAAACATTAGAAAAATAAATTTTGTACTATGTTTAGTTAGTTTGTTATGATTGAAAGGTGATAGAGAGAGAATTGGGGTTTAACGTCCACTCGACACAAACTAGGTCCTTTCGGGACTAACATATTGTTTAATTTTATTTCAATAATTCGCTTGCGCGTTGGGATCTTTAGCAGTGGGAGGAAACCGGAGGACCTGCAGAAAACCCACGAGGTAGGACAGGCAACCCTACTCCTTGTCACGTACAAACGGGAATTCGAAACCACGGCAGTTGACTCAATGACAGGCCTTATGATACAGCACGCAAGTGCTTACCATTCAGCCATCCAACCCCCCTTGATAAAAATTTTAAGGACTCCATTTAGGAAAAAAGTGGTGCTTTTGTCCGGTACGTCCACATCAACTTGCTGAGAGCATTATTTCAACTCTGAACACCAATAAAGGTTTTGCTGTTGTAATGCAGTATGATCGAGGGCCTGACAAGGACAGTTGTCTAGTCGTTTGGCTGGGAAGAAAAACCGAGGTCCCGTGTATACATTGGAATGCACGTAAAAGATCCCTTGGCAGTTGGAATTCGATATAAGAGTGGGCGATAGTGCTGCGGCCCGGGCAAAATTCCCCTCATAGAACACTGTATGGCGTATGCCCGTCTTCATTAGCCCAGTTCGGAGCAGAACAGTAGGACCTTAAACTCCATTTCATTTCATTTTATTGTTGTATTATGATCACCCTTTGCGTCTGTTGATCTGTTTACATTGGGCCCGTGCTCACTTTAATTGCAGGCTACAATTTTTTTATGGATATTTTTTATATTGTGGAGATAATCACTATCGCAATTGTTGACGATCCAATAACTTGTCGGAAATAGAGACCCTGTTTTGATTGTTTTGATTGTGAGTGTCAATATATCATTATGAAGACGATTTCTATCGAACATGACGAAGATCCGATAAAAATACCCCAAAATTTGTACACGAACGTAGCTTGTAACATGGATGGGAAATCTTCCTTTGTTTTTTTCGTTGAATAAGCAGATTGTTTTCCCTCTAGTAGATTGGGTGGAGCTTAACCGTGCAATAACTAGACATGTTCAATATTATTGCACACTTTTGCTGGTTTACACTAGTTTTAGTAGAAATCATAGAGAGAAGTGGTGTGGGTTTTCTGTGCAATAACAACAAACATGTTGAGCAGGTGTCAATGTTACAAGTCATTTATGGCTCTAGGACAATTTGTCCCCGAACAATTCGTCCCCGAACAATTCGTCCCCGGACAATTTGTCCCCAGACAATTCGTCCCTAAGGATAATTCGTCCCCGGACAATTTGCCCCCGGACTCTTCGTCCCCTAGGACTATTTGTCCCCTAAGACTATTCGTCCCCGGACTATTCGTCCCCATGGACAATTCGCCATGGACAATTCGCCCCCTAGGACAATTCATCCCCTAGGACAATTCGTCCCCAAGGACAGTTTGTCCCTGGACAACAATAATGGTAGTTTTATTATCAAAAACTGAATTAATTTTTATTTTTTATCCTAAATCTCAGTTTTGATGCTAGTTTTACATTTAGTATTAAAGGAGCTAAATCGCTAACATCTGGGACCTAGAAATTGACAAAAGTGGGTCGCAACGCATATAATACTGTAATATGAATGTATATAAACTGATTTACATTCAATGGTTTCCGTTTTTACTCCAATTTCAATTCAGTTATGTTCGGTGAAATAAGCCAGCTGTCTCAAGCGAGTGCAAATTTCTAGCGTCTGGTTATTCCAGTCTACATACGCTCTTGATACAGCTGGGGCTGAAGCGCATTATGGTACACGATTCGTGTACCAATGGTAAAATGTTTATCAAAAGCCCATCTTTTTCCGGTAAAGGCCATTTTACACGATCCTACTTTTGTTCAAGAACATCATCCAACATTTGTAGGATGATGTTCGCAGGAAAATGTCCTATCGTTTACACAACGTTGTAGTCTACATTCACACGCCAAAATTCATACTGGAAAAAATCTCTTTTCTTGTGATGTGTGCAGCAAATCTTTTACACAAATTTGTAATCTACATGTACACATACGAATTCATACTGGTGAAAAACCCTTTTCTTGTGACCTTTGTAAAAAATCTTTTACCACCGTAGGTGAACTACATGCACACACCAGAACCCATTCTGGAGAAAAACCCTTTTCTTGTGATGTGTGCAGCAAATCCTTTACACAAAATGGTAGTTTACAGAAACACACGAGAATTCATTCTGGAGAAAAACCCTTTTCGTGTGATGTTTGTAAAAAAACTTTTACCACTAGGAGTCATCTACATCAACACACCAGAATTCATACTGGTGAAAAACCCTTTTCTTGTGATGTTTGTAGAAAATCTTTTACCACCAGTGGTAATCTCCAGGCACACACAAGAATTCATACTGGTGAAAAACCCTTTTCTTGTGATGTTTGTAAAAAATCTTTTACCCATGGAAGTAACCTACACGCACACACCAGAACTCATTATAAAAAATAACATACTTATTAAAACCTTTAGCCTAGGTGACTTGGCGGATAAACAAGTGTTCGATCCCTGCATTGGCCGAGAAAGGATTTTTCAGCGTAGTTCCCCCTTCTCAGTGGTGCAAGACAGAGGGCCTGGCAAGGGACAACGTATAGTCTTCCGGATGGGACAAAAAAAAAAACAAGGTCCTGTGTACACTTGGCGTGTAGGTGAAAGATCCGTTGGCAATTTGATTTCGATATAAGAGTATGCCAGAGCACTACAGTCCAGTCAAAAATTCCCCTCATAGCACACTGTGGCATATTCCCATCTTCATTAGCCTTGTCAGAACAAAACAGAAGGATGTCAAACCCCATTTCATTTCATGTAAAAACTATTCCTGTAATGATTGTAGTAAATCATCTACATCAATTCAAGACAATCATACTCGTGAATTGTGGACGGGGTAAAGGGGATGGTTTTTAATGGATTCTTTTCAAATTTGGTGGTAAACATTGTGGTCATGCAGCGGAAGTTGGGGGCAAAATCTATCGATGTTCACCGTTTTCCATATTGTGTTCCAGAGTTATGTCCCTTTTGCCAAAAACTTTGTTTATATGATAGAGACTTTTAACTGATTTTAAGCATTGGGACCATGGTAGATTGAACCCTATCAATATTCAACATTTTGCTCCTTTCAGTTCCAGAGTTAACCCCCTTTTGCCAAAATGATGTTTGTAGCAAACCAACATGAACAAACCAGAAGTGGAGGAAAAACGCTTTTTTGTGATATTTGTATAAAATCATTTTGACAAAGTACCGCCAACGTGCTACAACAGAAGCGATATTGGAGAAATAAACTTTTTTTGTGACATTTGTAGTATATCAAAAAAATGAAATGAAATGGGGTTTAACGTCCTACTGTTCTGCTCCTATGCTGGGCTAATGAAGACGGGCATACGCCATACAGTGTACTATGAGGGAAATTTTACCCGGGCAGCAGCACTATCGCCTACTCTTATATCGAATTCCAACTGCCAAGGGATCTTTTACGTGCATTCCAATGTATACACGGGACCTCGGTTTTTCGTTTCATCCGTGTAGTAAATCAAGTTGAGATGTTTAAAAATGTATGGAAGTCCATCAGAGACAATGTTAATACATTAATTAAGACATTAATAAGATTATATTTATTTACTTACACCCCAGAGTATAAATCTATGTCCAAATATGGTTTGTCCATTAAAAATAAATTTTGTACTATGTTTAGTTAGTTTGTTATGATTGAAAAGTGAGAGAGAGAGAATTGGGTTTTAACGTCCAATCGACACAAACTAGGTCATTTCGGGACTAACATGGTTTAATTTTATTTCAATAATTTGCTTGCGCGTAGAGGTCTTTAGCAGTGGGAGGAAACCGAAGGACCAGAAGAAAATCCACGAGGTTGGACAGACGAGCCTACTCCTTGCCACGTACAACCGGGAATTCGAAACCACTCCAGTTGACTCAATGACAGGCCTTATGATACAGCGCACACGTGCTAACCATTCAGCCCCTTGATAAAAATATTAAAGTGGTGCTTTTGTCCGGTACGTCCACATCAACTTGCTCAGAGCATTTCTCCTCTGAACACCAATAAATGTTTTACTGGTGTAACGCAGTATGGAGGGCCGTCTTCATTAGCCCAGTTCGGAGCAGAACAGTCTTACGTTAAACCTCATTTCATTTCATTTTATTGTTGTATTATGATCACCCTTTGCGTCTGTTGATCAGTTCATCTTGGGCTAGTGCTCACTTTAATTACAATTTTTTATGGATATTTTTTATTGTGGAGATAATTACTATCGCAATTGCTGACGATCCAATAACATTTGTCAGAAATAGGGACCCTGACTTTGAGTTTTCATTGTGAGTGTCAATATCATTATGAAGACGATTTCTATCGAACATGACGAAGATCCGATAAAAATACCCCAAAATATGTACTCAAACACAGCTTGTAACATGAACGGGAAATCTTCCCTTGTTCTTTTCGTTGAATAAGCAGATTGTTTTCCCTCTAGTAGATGGGTGGAGCTTAACCGTGCAATAATTAGACATGGTCAATGTTATTGACTCTTTTGCTGGTGTACACTAGTTTTAGTAGAAAACGTATAGAGAAGTAGGGTGGGTTTTCTGTGCAATAACAACAAGCATGTTGAGCAGGTGTCAATGTTACAAGTCATTTATAGCACGCCTCATTCGTTAACAACTTTAACATCTCAGCCTACGACCTCGATGTTTAAACCTGTTAACTCATGAAAGCCGTGCTATAAATATAACTTATTCATTCCAATATGATCATGTGTACCAACCCACAAATTGTTTATGGATTCATTTGATTTTTGTGGTGTGAAGCATTGAATTTGGATCGAGTGTCCGTCTTAGTCCGTCAGCAACTTTTTGTTAAAGCTGAGGAGTATAAACCTTGAGTGGCATTTAGTGATTGTGCACATTAAAAATCACAATACAATTTATATGGAATACAATCACTGGTTTATACACATATAGCACGACGTCCCAACAAGTATTCTCTTATCGTTATCAAGTACATTTGTGTTTTTTAAAGCTGAGGAGGCTGGATTATTTCGAATTGGGACCTCGCCTTCTCTTGTTTTCGGTACATCCGGTAGCCTACTCGTCAAATATTTTTAGCTTGGTCTGTGCATATATCTAGCTGTTAAATAAGGTGACCCCCCCACCCACACCAACAATTTGTTTCCGATTATAACTGCCATATGGGCGTATTTCCACGCATTGTGTGGCTATCCTTAATATTGAACAGGGAAGGATGAGAATTGGGGCGTGGCTTCACGTTTTGTTTATGGACACTCTGTCACATGAAATAAAATGTTTTGCTCCGAACTGAGCTAATGACATACGCCATACAGTGTGCTATGAGGGAAATTGTGCCCGGACAGCGGCACTACGGCCTACTCTTATATCGAATTCCAACTGTCAAGGGATCTTTTACATGCACGCCAATGTGTACACGTGACCTCGGTTTTTCGTCCCATCCGAACGATAGGACAGCTGTCCTTGTTAGGCCCCCGTCCTGCATCACTGACAAGAGGAAACCACGCCGGAAAATCTGGATGAACTTTCTCGGCCAATGCAGGGATCGAACACCCGACCTCCAGGCTAGCGAGCCAGCGTCTTACCCACTTAGCAATGATCCCCACAATTTTGACATAGGTTTTGTAATATAGGTTTATATCCGAAAGATCTCGGTTCATATCGATATTGTCATGTATGAAACGATAGCCTCCTGTACACCATACACCACTGTCAATACATACCTACTGTATGTATATACCGATAGCCTACTGTGTATACATACAGTATGTATACATATACCTACTGTACACTATACACAACTAAATATATACCAAAGGTGAATAACTAGGATCAAACACATAAACCCGACCTTGAATGTCGGACTGTTAGCATATCAAAGTATGGTGATACACTATGACTAAATTTATTGGCCGTTTTGACGAAATAAAATAAAACCAAGTACGAGCAATACAAACCATTAGACAAAATTCGAAGTCCTAAAAAAACGGTATAGGCAATAAAGTGTAATAAGGCAAATAGTGTAATCAGCATATGGACTGTTCACCGTGTACAAAATACACGACAAACAGTGGTAACAGGTGTCCGGAAGAGTAAGCTTACCCTGCCCTGCGCCACACCCGCCATAGCTGCATCCAAACTATTAAGCGAAATCTCGATAAAATAGCGTGATTGGCCAATGGACTATCGGTATGCAAAATGCACGTGATGAAATCTGTTTTTGGTCGTTATGGCATAGGGCCGTTATGACCACATCCCGATACATATATACCATATATGGTGATACATATATATATTTGTGGAGTGAAATGGGGTTAGCCATTCGCTCCCCTCCCAATATGGTGATATGTGAAGTTATAAACTATAAATGCAATCTGATTAAAACACAGATCCTATTTCGTTTCGTTTTTTATAGTTCAAAATTTCGTTTTACTTGTCTTTACTACAAAGAATGTGGAAGAATTGTTATATAACGTGCGTTCTGGTTGAAGTGAGGGATTAGCCAATGAAACGGTCTGTTACGGTGAGTTTTTGGCGTTTGATGCACGGAACTGTGGGCAAAGAGAGAGAGAAATGGGGTTTAACGTCTACTCGACAAAACCAAGTCCTTGTCACGTACAACCGGGGATTCGAAACCACGCCAGTTGACTCAATGACAGGCCTTATGATACAGCGCGCACATGCTAACCATTCTGCCATCTAACAGCCCCCCCCCCCCCCGAACTGTGGGTAAACCCAATTCTATTTCACTCCCCAAACTGTTCAGCTTATGTTCATATACAGAGTAGATGAGTATCATTAATTATGGCACAGTTTGGCCTCCATAGAATACAACTTGATTGACACCATGGTCCATGCATTGAATTACTACGTGGCCGCTTCAATCATCAAAGTTCGTTTTGACATTGTAATAAAACTTTTCTTTTATTGACCTCTTGCGCAATAACTAGTTTGACATTGCAATAAAACCTGATTTTGCAATAGCGTATAAGGGATATCTTGAATAACTAAATGCTATCTCCTAGTTTGACATTGCAATAAAAACCCCTTTTTTTTGCAATAGCGTATAAGGGATATCTTGCTACCACAATGTCCTCTCTATCATGGACCTCTTGCGCAATAACTAAATGATATGTCCTAGTTAGCGCGTTTAGGTCACTCTAGAGATATCTATATATGTGAAAGGTATATTTTATATGTGTATATCGTGTATATGTATCACGCAGAACTATATTCCCCGTGAATGCGAATGTATCACACAGAATTATAACGAAACTATCTTTCCCGTGAATGGGAAGTGGTATCAGACCACCCAGAAAGAGTAAGCGTTATCTGTCTGGCGAATATAAGAGTAACAGGTTGGTTTCATGAATATTGAATTTATTTATTTTGATTATTTTATAATATTTATTTTGTTGACATTAAACCTCTGCTTTTGTGAGAGTGCCGCGATGGTTCAATGGGTAGGTCTCGGGTTCGGTCCATGTGTTGGCCGAGAAAGTTCCTCGCCGTGATGATCTTCTGGCGTGATTTTCTCCTGTCAGAGAACCCTTGCCAGATGGAATGTCCCTTATCGAAAGCCCCATTAAATTTCATTTGTGATGACTATCCTTCGTCACGTCACCAAATCTCAAATGTGCCACTACGGTGTCAAACTATCCTGCAACATGTCTGCGAACTATGGACTATCGTCATAGGCTTCCGAATAACGAATGTGACACTAAATTATAAATCATGCGCCACTGCTGTTAGACATAATCCTGCGTCTTTACTCCGGACTAGGGGGGGTGGGGGGTGGTTGGATGGCCGAATGGTTAGCACGCGCGCGTTGTATCATACGGTCTGTCATTGAGTCAACTGGCGGGGTTTCGATTCCCCGGTTGTAGGTGACAAGGAGTAGGGTTGCCTGTCCAACCTCGTGGGTTTTCTCCGGGTCCTCCGGTTTCCTCCCACTGCTAAAGACCCCTACGCGCAAGCGAATATTTGAAATAAAATTGAACCATGTGTTAGTCCCGAAATCACCTAGTTTGTGTCGAGTGGACGTTAAACCCCATTTCTCTCTCTCTCTCTCCGGACTGTATTTCACGTTGTGTATTTTTTTTAATAGCTAAAACTCTTGAATTCTGTATTTTCCTAAAATCATCTGTATATATAACAGTTATGATATCGGAGAATCGGAGGCGTGGTAATAGTCAATTGGGCATTGTGGCGCAAAAAACCCCTAAAAAGCTCGATTCCAGCGCAAAAATCACCATAAGCTTAAACAAATTGAAATTTGAAAGTTGGAATGAATACGAAATATATGACAACTGACAATTTACCAATTAGAAAATACAATGATACGATACGAAAAATATCACGATTTCGATTTCTGGTGCAAAATTACAAAAGAAGTGGCGCAAAAGTCACTGTGGCAGTGACGCATGCGTATATTTACCCATCATTATCACCCTGTCATTATAAAGCCTTACATATAAAAGTGCCCGTTATAATATCTAAGACAAGGAGTAAGGTCGCCTGTCCAACCTCGTGGGTATTCTCCGGGTCGTCCGGATTCCTCCCACTGCTAAAGACTCCTAAGCGCAAGCGAATTATTGAAATAAAATTGAACCATGTGTTAGTCCCGAAACAACAAAACGGAAAGGGGGTTAACGTCCTACTTTTCTGCACCGACTGGGCTATTGAAGACGACCCATACGATGTGCTATTATCAATGATTCTTTACGTGTACGCCAATATGTATACATGACGTCGGTTTGTCATACCATCCGAATGACTAGACGCTGTCCTTCTTGTTCTTCTTAGTGTTTAACGTCCGCTTCCACTGAAGGTCATATCGCAGACAAGTCTTATTATTTTTTATTATCTTAGCGCACGCGCAACGGTCTTTCCTGTGGGAGGAAACCGGAGTACCCGGAGTAAACCCACGAGGATGAGAAGGCACCCCTATCTCCAGGCCACATAGGCTCACACCAGGAATCGAAGCCACAGCCGCAGTGCCAGAGGTGACCGGCCAGCTAGAGGTCGAAGGGCGGCACTCTAGACCACTAGGCCATCCCACCCCCCACTCTGCCCTTGCCAGGCTTTCGCTCTTGGACTACTGACAAGGGGAAACCACGCTGCTCTAATCAAAAACAAACTCGTTAATAGTAAACATTGCTTGTAATCAAATGTAGAAATGATGATTGGTATAGGCTGAAACATTCATGTCCTATATCCTGACCCGCCGTTTAATATGGTGATCCATTTTAGCCATAACATCTGCATTATAGATATGCGCAAATATTTAAAATACATTTGGGGAGTTGGATGGCCGAATGGTTACAAGAAAAAAAAAAACAGCGCGTGCGCGTTGTATCACAAGATCTGTCATCGAGTCAACTGGCGTGGTTTCGATTCCCCGGTTGTACGTAATAAGGAGTATGGTCGCCTGTCCAACCTCGTGGGTTTTCTCCGTGCCCTTCCGTTTCTTCCCACTACTAAAGACCCCTACCCGCAAGCGAATTATTTATTATTTGAGAAATAATATTTTTGAAAATTATATTACCCTGCAGCTATCATGCCCACCTTCCGGTTATTACGTCATCATGGACACCTGTCAAAGTTAGTGCGGTACAGATATAATTCTACATCCGCTGCTACACAGCTGTCTGATATCAACACCACCAACCCTAAACCATTTAAAGATATACCAGCACCCACAGGAATATACAGCATACCAAAAATTGGTCCCTTGTTTTTATTTAAACCATTTTGTAAGTATAAATTACAGTTAGTTTTTGTCTTTTCGTTACGGTTGTGAAATAAATGTGCATCAAATATACACATGGCAGGCGCGGATCCAGGGGAGGGGGGGGGGCGAACATTTTTTTGCCCCATATATTCTCGCGGAAAGGAGAAATAAAAAATACTTAAAAATGGTAGTGATCCCCGTCGTAATTTACTCCGAAACGAGCCGGTTGGTGACTTGGTTGATTGCCCGTCAGTCCGCCCACCGAGGGCCGGGATTCGCACTCCTAAGTGGGGGCAGTACGCCCCCCCCACACACTTTCTGATAATCCTGGATCCGCCCCTGCATGGACCCCCCAGTGATTAAGTGAAAGGTTTCTCAGATAAATACACCGTACCGTAAACATGGGGGCGGCTGTATGGGGAAAAATACAAATGTACCGTATACAGGGGGCGGCTGTATGGGTATATATACAAATCTACTGTATACGTGGGGGCGGCTGTATGGGTAAACATACAGTTGTACCGTATACATGGGGGCGGCTGTATGAGTAAACAAACAAATGAACTACTGTTTTTCTGTTGGCCCATGTACCTGCAATCTAATTAAAACACTGATCCTATTACGTTTTGTTTTTATAGTCCAAAATTTCGTTTCACTTGTCTATACGAAACTAGAATTTGGAAGAGTTGTTATATGACCCGCGTTCCTATTGATGTGAGAGATTAGCCAATAAAACGGTCTGTTACGGCGAGTTTTTGGATTGAGTTGCATGGAACTGTGGGTAACCCACTAGAAACATCGACGCTGATTGGTTAATCAATTGTCTAACGTTATAGGGTCAAAGGCCGCTGGTATGACCCCTGACGCATTTTAATGAGACTGATGTACCTGTAGCCTTAATCCAGCTCAGGATGCAGTAATGATACTTTATTTGAATAATTAATTAATTTGAATGTCATTTAGTAATTGAATTGGAAATACACAGGCCACAGTTAAACATACATTATGACGTCACATTAATAATGACGTCATTGTATTAATCATATTAAACATACATTATGCAAGAGCTAAATCTGTCTATTGCAGGTCTTTCTTTAGACCTGAAATGTTTTCTAAATTATTAATTAGACATGAATTAACTTATCTAGACCATAATCAACTCTCGATGTAACCGCTAGCCTGCGATATTTACTGGATTAGGATCCGATTTGCTGCTCAACTATCATTCATGATTTAATCATGAAATGGATAATCGAGACTTTAGTTATGATGATCGAGGCTAGCCCGGAAAATGCAATTTTCTCGGTTCAGAGTGGATCAATTTTACTAAAATTTTCAGCAAATCACCCTCACGTTATCTAGTTTTTATACGTCCACATTCATAATGTGAACGTATTATGCCGTCGCCCCTGTCTGTGTGTGTGTGTGTGTGTATGTATGTATGTGTGTGTGTGTGTGTGTGTGTGTGTGTGTGTGTGTGTGTCTGTGGTTCGCCTACAGGGCGCAATTCTTCATGGATTTTCTTCAAACTTGGTATACTTATTCCTTATACCCCAAGGAAGATCCCTATTGTTTTTGGTGCATGCCCGACCCCCCGGGGCAGAGCCACGCCCATTTCTAGTATTTGTTTGTTTGTCGTCTACAGGCCACATTTCTTAACTAATAATCTTGAAACTTTGCATACACATTCTTTGTACCCTAAGGAACATCCCTATCGTTTGGGGTGCATGCCCAACCCCCAGGGGCAGAGCCACGCCCATTTTCTTTTCGTGTGTCTTTGTGTCGCCTACAGGGCGCAATTCTTACTGGATTTTCTTCAAACTTGGTATACTTATTCCTTATACCCCAAGGAAGATCCCTATTGTTTTTGGTGCATGCCCGACCCCCAGGGGCAGAGCCACGCCCATTTCTAGTATTTGTTTGTTTGTCGTCTACAGGCCACATTTCTTAACTTATAATCTTGCATACACATTCTTTGTACCCTAAGGAACATCCCTATCGTTTGGGGTACATGCCCAACCCCCAGGGGCAGAGCCACGCCCATTTCCCATTTTCTTTTCGTGTGTCTTTGTGTCGCCTACAGGGCGCAATTCTTACTGGATTTTCTTCAAACTTGGTATACTTATTCCTTATACCCCAAGGAAGATCCCTATTGTTTTTGGTGCATGCCCGACCCCCAGGGGCAGAGCCACGCCCATTTCTAGTATTTGTTTGTTTGTCGTCTACAGGCCACATTTCTTAACTTATAATCTTGCATACACATTCTTTGTACCCTAAGGAACATCCCTATCGTTTGGGGTACATGCCCAACCCCCAGGGGCAGAGCCACACTTTATATACTTATTCTTTGTACCCTAAGGAACATTCCTATCATTTGGAACATCCTTATCATTTGGAGTAGGCCCTACATGCCCAACCCCCAGGGGCAGAGCCATGCCAATTTTCTTTTTGTGTGTCGCCTACAGGCCACAATTCTAAATCGATCATCTTGAAACTTAAAATACATATTCCTTATACCCTGAGGTTGGTCCCTTTTCTTTTGTTTGTATTTGTTTGTCGTCTACAGACCGCATTTCTTAATGTATCATTTTGAATCTTTGCATACTTATATTTTGTACCCTAAGGAACATCCCTATCGTTTTGGGTGCATGCCCAACCCCCAGGGGCAGAGCCACGCCTATTTTCTTTTTGTGTGTCGCCTACAGGCCACAATTCTTAAGTGATCAACTTGAATCTTTACATACTTATTCCTTATACCCTTAGGATGATCCCTATTGTTTTGGTGCATGCCCGATCCCCAGGGGTAGAGCCACGTCCATTTCTTGTATTTGTTTGTTTTTCGTCTACTGGCCGCATTTCTTAACATATCATCTCGAAACTTTGCATACTTATTATTTGTACCCTAAGGAACATCTCTATCGTTTGGGGTGCATGCCCAATCCCCAGGGGCAGTATTTTTGTGTGTCGCCTACGATCCACACTTTTTAATCAATCGTCTTGAAAAAATTTCATATGAATTCCTTATACCCTAAGGACAATCCCTATTGTTTTGGTGCATGCCTGACCCCCCAGTGGCAGAGCCACGCCCATTTCTTGTATTTATTTGTTTGTTGTCTACAGACTGCATTTCTTAACCTATCACCTTGAAACTTTGCATACTTATTCCTTCTATCCTAAGGAACATTGTTTGTGGTAAATGCCCAGCCCCCAGGGATAGAGCCACGCCCATTTTCTTTTTGTGTGTCTGTATGTCACTTACAGCCTGCAATGCTTAATCGATCGTCTTGAAAACCTTTTTACACTTATTCCTTATACCCCAAGGCTGACCTCTATTATTTTTGGTGCATGCCCGGCCCCCTGGGACAGAGCCACGCCCAATGTTTCTGCGCCTTTTGAGTCGCCAACTGCCTGCAATTCTTAACAGATCCTTTTGAAAATTTGCATACCTATTCCTTATACCCTAAGGATGCCCCCTGTTGTTTTTTGGTGATTGCCCAACCTCCAGGGGCAGAGCCACAACCATTTTTTCTTTGTCTCTGTGAGTTGCCTACAGGCCACGATTCTTAATGGATTGTCTTTGTACTTGGGATATGTATTCCTTATAGCCTAAGGACGACAACTGCATGTCCCGACCCCCAGGGGCAGAGCCACGCCCAATTTTTGTGTTTATCGTTTACAGGCCGGAATTCTGAATGGATCAACTTGGTACTTGGTATATGTATGCCTTATAGCCTAAGGGCGTCAACTATTGATTTTGGTGAATGCCCCGACCCTCAGGGACAGAGCCACGCCCAATTTTTGCCTTTAGCTTCCGAAGGCCACAATTCTGAATGGATTATCTTGGAACTCGGTATACTTATTCCTTATACCCTAAGGACGGCAACTGTTTATTTTGATGCTTGTCCCGACCTCCTGGGGCAGTGTCACACCCTCATTTTTTGTTAGTATTTTGTCTTTAAATTTGGCTCTGATCATATTACAGCCATTTCATATTTCATTCTCTTCATTTTAAAAAGTACCATATCAATCAAAGCTGGAATGTGGACGTATATTGCAGCGTTAGCGATGCTCTCGTTAACTATTATAGTGATAACTGCCAGCTCTTTATCTAATCTCCCATAATGTATTTTTAATGTTTATAGCCACGTCCAGGCTATAATAGTTCAAAAATAGATAATACTATATTGGCTAATTCAATCAAATTACTTTTATTCCGAGTGATGTTATAGGTGTTTGAAGTTTTGACAATGAATTGCTTATTGTAAACTGCCATTGCCATGCTACTGGTTGATAAAGGCTAGAGAAGTCTAGTCGAGACATCACACAAAATAAACAGTAGAAGTGTCATATGTGTTGCGGGGTTGGATGGCCGAATGGTTAGCACGTGCGCGCTGTATCACAAGGCCTGTCATTGAGTGGTTTCGAATCCCCGGTTGTACGTGACAAGGAGTAGGGTCGCCTGTCCAACCTCGTGGGTTTTCTCCGGGTCCTCCGGTTTCCTTCCACTGCTAAAGACTCCTACGCGCAAGCGAATTATTGAAATAAAATTAAACCATATGTTAGTCCCGAAATGACAGTCAGCCCCTCTCTCTCTCTCTCTCCCTCTCCCTCTCTCATGTGTGTCTTTATTATTTTCTTACAGCTAAATATAATGTATTTAATATTCATGAGTTACTGGACCGTTTATGTGATAAATACGGATCTATAATGAGACTTGGAGATGCCTTGGTATTCACCAGTAATCCTAAAGATATAGAATTCGTCTATAAAAATGAGGGGAAATACCCTGTGAGACCAGGATTAGATATTTTGGAAGTCTATCTGGAAAGAACAAAAAAGGAAAAGGGCCTTGGAGTGCTGTAAGCAGTATTTTATTGTTTATCTATCTATTTTATACTAATATTTGTGACTGTCGTTTGTCTGTCTGTTTGTCTGTCTGTTCGGGGTTGGCGGCTACACTAGGTCTGCCCCGAGTCTGAAATTTGGGGTATAGGGGTAGCTCGGACCGGGGAGTAACATAGGTCAGGTGGCGTTAGTCTACCACTTCCGGTGTCGGGGTTATGACCCCCGAGCGAAGCCGGGCATTCTTCTAGTGTAGTATAAATCTGCCCATTGTAGGTCTTTCTTTACATCTAAATTTTAAAAAGACATTAATTAACTTATCCAGACCATAATCAGCTCTCGATGCCATCGTTAGCCCGCGATAGTTAGTGGATTTCAATACATTTTGTGTTGGATAATATAACGTAAAACTGGATAGTCGAGACTTCTAATACGATAATATAACGTAAAACTGGATAGTCGAGACTCCTAATACAAGTATTTATTGCGATATATAAATTTGGATGTTATATTATAACTGTTATCCAGTTCTTATATTTCAAAGGGTGGGTAATTGTCTTTCAATTTACAGGAATGGTGAAAAATGGGCGAAACTGCGTCACAGTATTCAAAAAGTAACAGTACGGCCAAAATCCGCTCTTCATTACATTGAGAGTCAATCAGGTGTCGCACAGGATTTGATTCATCAATTGCGATCCATAAAACCTGAAGATCTGCGAGAAATGTTGTTTATATACGCCACTGAAAGTAAGTAAGTAGTAGTGGGAGGGGGCTGGGTAGGACCCTCGAAACAACTGGTTACTGTAGGCTCCCACCACCGCGAAGAATACTTAACGAGAAAACGAAACTAACTTGATTCATCTTTCCCACATCCCATTCTCCTCGATTTAGGCCATAATATTTTTGTAGTGGATCCGCAGTTGAATTTAATCAACTTCGTCCGACCCCAGTCTACCCCTTAGTAGTAGAACAGCATTCCCGCGGCAAAAGTTATCACTATACCATTACCCATCGCTGTGCAGTCGTTCGTCACGTGGTGTTACCATCCCCTAGGCTTTGTGTCTGCCTCGAACTAGAGGCATCATGCACCGTTGACTGTACTGACGTTCGTCACGTGGTATTATCATCTCATGGGCCTGGCGTTAGCCTCGACCTAGAGACATCATGCACCGTTGGCTGTGCATACGTTCGTCACGTGGTGTTACCATCCCCTGGGCTTTGTGTCAGCCTCGACCTAGAGACATCATGCACCGTTGACTGTACTGACGTTCGTCACATGGTATTATCATCTCATGGGCCTGGCGTTAGCCTCGACCCAGAGACATCATGCACCGTTGTCTGTGCATACGTTCGTCACGTGGTGTTACCATCCCCTGGGCTTTGTGTCAGCCTCGACCTAGAGACATCATGCACCGTTGACTGTACTGACGTTCGTCACATGGCATTATCATCTCATGGGCCTGGCGTTAGCCTCGACCTAGAGACAAATTAACTGTCACTAGGTTCACGTGGTGTCATGATCTCCTGTTCCTGGTGTCAGCCTCGAACTAGCATAAAACATTACTATGTTGAATTTGGTCACGTGGTGTTATCATGTCGCGGGCCCCGTGTCAGCTAAATGAATATTAATACGCTCTCCAACATATTTTAATTCGTAATGTCTTTGCTGTTGTGGAGACGCATGGCTCGGTTAATACGCTGGCTCGCTAACCAACATGTTCCTCGGGATTTTCAGGCGTGGCTTCCCCTTCTCAGGAAGTGTCCAAAAGAAACCCCCAGTTCCCGTGTAGACATGGGCATGCACGTAAAAATACCTGACAGTTGGAATTCATAGGACGAGAGGGGTTCACTAGTCCGCCGCTATAAGAAATACTATAAATATGGGTATCAAAAAACCTAATCCGAACCCTAACCCTAATCCTAATAATAGATATCGGTGGACTAATGAACCTTAACCCCTAATAATAGATATCGGTGGACTAATGAACCTTAACCCCTAATAATAGATATCGGTGGACTAATGAACCTTAACCCCTAATAATAAATATCGGTGAACTAATGAACCCGCGGACTAGTAAGCATTCGCCCATAGGGCCAATGTTGGTGCAAACGTTTTCTCATTGCACACTGTATGGCGTATGCCCGTCTTCATTAGTCCAGGTGGTGCACACTGTATGGCGTATGTCCGTCGCCATTAGCCCAGGTGGTTCACACTGTATGACGTATGTCCGTCGCCATTAGCCCAGGTGGTGCACACTGCATGACGTATGTCCGTCGTCATTAGCCCAGGTGGTGCACACTGTATGGCGTTTGCCCGTCTTCATTAGCCCCGGTGGTGCACACTGTATGACGTATGCCCGTCGTCATTAGCCCAGGTGGTGCACACTGTATTACGTATGCCCGTCGTCATTAGCCGTGGCGGTGCACAGTGTATGCTTGTCTTCCTCACCCGAGTCGGTGCACACAAGTAAGACGTAAACACCCTATTTTATTTGTAGGTATAGCTGTGGTGTGTTTTAACAAGAGACTTGGTATTTTAGGAGAACACGTGACCGAGGAAGTTAAAGAATACCTTGAGAATAGCAAATTATTCTTAAAACTTTCTAATCATGGACTTATTGGATTTCCATTTTACAAGTATTTTGAGACACCAACATACAAGAAATTCAGGGATGCAACAGATAAAGCTTATGGGTAAAATAATTCATAATTATAAAAAGATGGGGAGAGAGAGAGAGAGAGAGCGAGAGAGAGAGAGAGAGCGAAAGAGAGAGGGGGGGTTAACGTCTACTCGACACAATCTAGGCCATTTCGGGACTAAAACATGGTTCTATTTTATTTCAATAATTTTCTTGGGTGTAGGGGTCTTTTGCAGTGGGAGAAAACTTGAGGACCCAGAGGAAACCCACGAGGTTGGACAGGCGACCGAGGAGTCGAAACCACGTCAGTTGACTGAATGACAGACCTTACGATACAGCTAGCGCGCACGTGCTAACCATTCGGCCATTCAACCCCCTATAAATATATAGTGAACAACAAGTATTAAATTCGTATTGAACCACCCAGCCACCCCTCTCCACCCACGGTGCCGATGGCCCCTAGGGAAGAAGAATAATACCCTGTTATATGAGTTGGCATTATACTAGGAGACTCTAGATTATTCACGGGCGCTTTTCAAATGGAAAACTACATTCACAAAAATATTAAGAGCTGATATTAAGTATTGTAATACTGTGTGTTTCCGCGAGACGACCAGGCAAAATGCGTTTGCATAAATATAAACGCGAGAGACTATAGGCATAATATTTAAGGTTAGTAAATGGGATATTTTGACATCAGTTGTCCATTTTAGATTCTTTAAAGACGAGACAGTCCTGTTGCATATTATTAAACATACATTATGACGTCATATTAATAATGACGTCATTGTATTAATCATATTAAACATACATTATGCAAGAGCTAAATCTGCCTGTTGCAGCTCTTTCTTTAGGCCTGCAATGTTAACATAATTATTTATTAGACATTAATTAACTTATCCAGACCATAATCAACTCTCATTGACATCCCTAGTCTGCGATGTTTATTGGATTAGATTCCGATTTGCTGTTCGACTACCATTCTTAATTAAATCATGAAATAAATAATTAAGACTATGTTTTTTATCCTACAGACTTTAGTAATGATGATCGCGGCTAGACCTAAAATTCAATCGCTAAAATCTCGGTTCATAGTGGATCAATTTGACTGAAATTTTCAGCAAATTCCCTTTACAGTATGTAGTTTTTATACGCCCACATTTTCATGTGGACGTATATTGTCGTCGCCCCTGTCCGTCCGTCCGTCCGGACGTCCGCCCGTCCACAATTGTTTGTGAACAGTCTACAGGCCACAATTTTTATCCGATTTCAATGAAACTTGAAATATAGGTTTATCACCCTAAGATCACGGTTCTTTTCGATATTGGCATCTATCGGACCGTAACTTCATGGATTATGTCCCCTGATTGTACGAAAAATCACGTTTTTGGCTTGTGAACACTGTAGAGGTCACAATTTTTATCCAATGTTGTTGAAACTTGAAATGTAAGTTTATAACCCAAGGATCTCGGTTCCTTTCGATATTCGCGCATATCGAACCGTAACTTTCTGAATTATGGCCCCTGATTGTACGTAAAAACGCGTTTTTTGGCTTGTGGACCCTATAGAGGTCATAATTTTTATCCGATTTAAAAAACCGTATTATTATATTACCGTTAAACCCTAAGGACGGTTGAGTTCGAATTTCGTGAAAATCGGTCCAAAACTGACAGACAAAATGGCCGCCGTTCGTTCTCAAACAGCGTAAAAATATGGTATATCAAGGTTATGGACCCTATAGAGGTCACAATTTTTATCCGATTTTGTTGAAGCTTGAAATGTAAGTTTATAACTCAAAGATCTTGGTTTCTTTCGATATTTGCGCATATCGAATTGTAATTTCCTGAATTATGGCCCTTGATTGTAGGAAAAATCACTTTCGTTTTAGCTTGTTTTCTATCCATCTCTTGAAAATGTGGGCGTATCCTGCCTGGCAGCCGCTGGTTAACTATTACAGTGGGAACTACCAGCTCTTTATCTAATCTCTCATAATGTATCTTTAATAAAACATTCCATAAATAGTTTGTAGTGCATTTTAGATTCGGTAAAGTTCAGATCGAAGAATCACTTGAAAAAGCACTTCAAATGAAGAAAGATGGTACTTGGAATCCAGACGACTCAAATTTATTGATGACGATGTTAGCAGACGACAGACTTTCTGTTAACCAAATTAGTAGTATGGTTCTTGATTTGCTGGTTGCTGGCACAGATTCGGTAAGCTTAGAATTATACAACATTAATAACTGTTATAAATAACTATTACACAACATTAATAACTATTATACAACATTAATAACTATTATGCAACATTAATAACTATTATACAACATGAATAACTATTATAAATTATACAACATTTATATAAAATTATAATTTATAACTATTATATGAAAACCTATCTGCTAAGAATTCCAAATACAGTGCACTCTGTCACATCCGACATCGTACGGGATCGTTACAATATGTCGGATTACACAGAGTGTCGGAATATGACTGTCGGAGTGTCGGAATATGACTTTTTCAGTTAGTTGAGTGATTTTACAAAGATCACTGAATAGTTGGGGAGTCGCCGTCGCTCAGTATGAACGAAGCGCTGACTTGCTAACCTGGAGGCCCTACCGTGCTCGATACCAACTAGGGGGTTTCCACTGTGGTCCCCTCTTGTATGTGATGCAGGGCGGAGTGCGTGGCAAGGCACAATGTGTAGTAGCCCAGATGGTCCCGTGTACATATAATTGGCGTGTAGATAAAGGAATCCTTGGCAGTTGGAATTCTAATTACGAATAGGCCTTAGCGCTGCTGTCCGGGTAAAAAATTGTCCCATAACACATTGTATGGCTTCCATAAAGAACGTTCAGACAAAAGTAGAATGGTCGGCACACTGGTTAAGCGAGACTAATTTCAAAACAAGGGTGCGTAACCTGTATTTTACTCAAAAGTGTCTGGATGTTATGGACGAAACTTGGAACCAGTTTCAGTCTATTATTTATAGATGATTAAATGGTCATAACTTATTAGGTACAACATGATCGTTTATTTAGTGACTATAATTGTGTGAAACTGATTTAAGGCTTGGTGTATATATAAATATTGTGGTGTAATTGTCGAGATATTTGGAGATATTTATTTATGGTGGGTCACCCTAACAAAAGTAATTACCTTTATTTCAGACGGCCAAGACCCTTGAACTATTTTTGGATTGTTTGTCACGTCATCCAGACGTTCAGGAAACTCTGTTCCAGGAGATATTAGAACATATGGGTCGTCATGGTGATTTGACAGCAGATAATTTACCCAAAATGAAATATCTTGCAGCTTGTTTAAAGGAATCGTTTAGGTAAAAATACCTGTTATTATAATTACAATACCTGTTAATATCATTACAATACCTGTTATTATCATTACCATACCTGTTATTATCATTACAATACCTGTTATTATCATTACAATACCTGTTATTATCATTACAATACCTGTTAGCATTACAATACATGTTATTGTCATTACAATACCTGTTATTATCATTACAATACCTGTTATTATCATTACAATACCTGTTATTAACATTACAATACCTGTTATTATAATTACCATACCTCTTACTATTATTATCATTACAATACCTGTTACTATTATTACAATACCTGTTACTATCATTACAATATACAACTGGCGGTAGTGTTTTCTTTGATATGCATAGAAGTTATATCTCATATCAAACTGTCATGACGTAATCATGGGTTAATATTCGGTTTATATCAACCTCTTCATAGCAACCTGTCATGACGTCATCCCAGGTTGCTGTATCCGGTTGATATCAACCGCTGATAAAGTTGATGATCGAAATAATACAAAGAACACAGAAATCAATTTTTATTCTTTTGACAATTAAAAGTACAGATTGTAGCATTCAGCACCGAAACAGACGGCGTACTTATCGGCATATTTAGATCTGTTATCAATGTCTAAGATATCTTTTAAAATTTTCTTTTCGTTAACATTTCGATTATGTTTCCATACACTCCAAGACTTATAGCCCAAGAGTTCCTTTGTAAAGTATTTTGGGGACGGTCCACTTAACACAGTCGGTCAACGTTCAACGTTCACTGTCAGAATTATCTGAATAGATTGCCATTAGATGCAAATTTGTCTTTTGATAGGCAGCTAGTAGATACCCGTCGGAATATGCATTCACAACTATTTAACGTTTAATCTGTTGGCTAAAAAGGATTGATTATTCGTCTGATAACGTATTACTATCGATTTTTGTTTTTCTTTAAATTCAATTGATCCTATAGTCAGGCCTGGAAATAACTGTTTTAGATGTACCTGGCAAAATGTCAGGCATTAATAAAAGAGTACCTGACATTTTCAACTTAGTGCCGGACATTTATGAATAATATCAATAAAAACACAAATAGAATGAATTATTAGTGAGCAGAAATTCGGCCGTGTATCTGTTATCACTAGTCACATCAGTCAGTTATATAGAGGTATGACTTGTGTTTTCCTTTGGCGTTCGTCACTTCCGATTCAGGAAACCTGTATTACTCAGCTATCGTAGCAATGATCTCTGTGGTAAAATTATATTTGGAATGTGTTTAACCAGCTCTATCACATATGTGATAATGACTGGCACCAATATTGTCCTTTAAGGCGTTGTAGTGACAACTCGCGATCGATAATAGCGCGATAATAACACAACGGTGTGGGGGTTGGCTGGGTTCCGGAAATAGTTTGGAAAAATGCAAATCTGCAGATGCCATTTCCGACTATTTCGGATTCTGTCCCCAGCCCCCTCGACGCGCGCCTGCTTTATGACTTTTTAAACGAGCCGAAGGGATCAAAATCATCTTTGCTTTCAGGATAAATTATCCAGTTGCGGTAGGGAATTCAAGAATCCTTCCTAATGATATAGTGTTAAGTGGTTATACTGTACCTAAAGGGGTAAGTTACTGGCTTTATAGTGTTATACTGTACCTAAAGGGGTAAGTTACTGACGTTATAGTGTTATACTGTACCTAAAGGGGTAAGTTACTGACGTTATAGTGTTATACTGTACCTAAAGGGGTAAGTTACTGACGTTATAGTGTTATACTGTACCTAAAGGGGTAAGTTACTGGCGTTATAGTGTTATACTGTACCTAAAGGGGTAAGTTACTGACGTTATAGTGTTATACTGTACCTAAAGGGGTAAGTTACTGACGTTATAGTGTTATACTGTACCTAAAGGGGCAAGTTACTGACGTTATAGTGTTACACTGTACATAAAGGGGTTAGTTACTGATGATATACTGTATCTAAAGGGGTAAGTTACTGATGCTATACTGTATCTAAAGGGAGAGAAAGAGAGAAATGTGGTTCAACGTCCACTCGACACAAACTAGGTAATTTCGGGACTAACATATGGTTCAATTTTATTTCCATAATTCGCTTGCGCGTAGGGGTCTTTACCAGTGGGGGTAAAACCGGAGGACCATGAGAAAACCCACGAGGTTGGACAGGCGACTGTACCAAAGTGGTAAGTTACTGATGCTATACTGTATCTAAAGGGGTAAGTTACTGATGCTATACTGTATCTAAAGAGGTTGGATGGCCGAATGGTAAGCACGTGCGCGCTATATCATAAGGTCTGGCGTGGTTTCGATGCCTCGGTTGTACGTGACAAGGAGTAGGGTCGCCCGTCCAATTTCGTCGGTTTTCTCCGGGTCCTCCGATATCCTCCCACTGCTAAAGACCCCTACGCGCCGGCGAATTATTGAAATAAAATTAAACCATGTGTTAGTCCCGAAATGACCTGGTTTTGTCGCTTACCGCTGGCCTTCAGATCCATTCACACGATTGGATATTTGTTGTTTATTTCTATCAATGTCTGTGTAGTTTGTCTTGTTCGCAGTGTTGCCTTGTGTGTAGCCCCCCCCCCCCCCCATCCTGCATTTATTATTAAATCTACTTTCAGACCATGATAGGTTTACATAACCGACGATTGGTGAAGGACCCGGCATATATAAAAGATCCAACAGTTTACAGACCAGAAAGATGGTTACGAGATGAGAACGGAGTTAGAAGAGAACAGATACCTGGTATTGGTTTAATACCATTTGGTATAGGAGTTAGAAACTGTGTTGGTAGACGATTCGCTGAACAAGAAATTTACCTAGCAGTTGCTAAAGTAAGGACAAGTTAGAATTCTCATAAATTTCTAGGCCTATAGACATGGAAAGCTACGCCAACCGGTAAAGTTGTTGTAAGGGGGGAATTCGGTTTAACATTTATAGACGCTGAAACCAATAGGGGCTATAAACAATATTGATAGACCATTCGCTGAACAAGGTTAGAATTGCAGTGGGATTAAACATCCTACTGTTCTGCTCCCGACTGGGGATATGAAAACGGGCATACGTTATACAGTGTGCTATGAAGGTAAATCTGCCCGGGTAGCGGTTCAACGGGCTACTTTTATTTCGATTTCAAACTGTCATGGGTTCTTTTAGGTGAACGCCAGTGTATACATGAGACCTCGGTTTTTGCGTCCAACACGCACAGCAAGACACTGTTCCTTGTCAAGCCCCCACCCTGCACCACTGACAAGGGTAAACCCCGCCGGACAATCTTGAGGAGAGAGAGAGAGAAAAGGGTCTTAACTTGCGCGTAGGGGTCTTTAGAAGTGGGAGAAGAGCGAAGGACCTGGGAAAAAACCACAAGGTGGACATGCGACACTACTTCTGGTCGCTAAAAATCGTGGAATCGACAACATGCCCAAATGAATGAGAGAGAGAGAAATGGGATTTAACGTCCACTCGACACAGACTAGGTCATTTCGGGACTAACATATGGTTTAATTTTATTTCAAATATTCGCTTGCGCATAGGGGTCTTTAGCATTTGGAGGAAACCGGAGCACCCGGAGAAAACCCATGAGGTTGGACATGCGCCCCTACTCCTTGTCACATACAACCGGGGATTCCCAAATGAATGGATCCGTTGATCAGGGGTAAGCGTATACTGCACAGTACTGTCCCAGATGTGTAGAGATACAGACTTCGTTCAAAATTCAGGGGTGGGGTAGGGGGCGAATGATTAGCAGGTGCGCGCTGTATCATAGGTCTGTCATCGAACCAACTGGCGTGGTTCGATTTCCCGGTTGTACGTGACATGGAGTAAGGTCGCCTGTCCAACCTTGTGGATTTTCTTCTGGTCCTTTGGTTTCTCCCACGGCTACTGAACCTTACGTACAACCGATTTATTGAAATAAAATTGAACCATATGTTGGTCCCGAAATGACCTAGTTTGTGTCGAGTGGACATTACCCCAAAATTAATAAATTAAGTGTAGTGTGTTAATTAATTAAATTGATTTAGGACAACTGTTAATGTGTTTCAGATTATCCAGAATTTCAAGCTTAGTAATAAAGACACCACGGCTGCAGCTGAACGTAAGGTGACTTACACGCCCTTTTGTACCCTAATTGACCAGCCAATGATCAATTTTCAAGAGAGAACTTAGCTAACGAAAAGAAAGAAAAAAAATAGCTCGTTGTTTGTTATTCGTGAATACATAACAGCAAACTGACTCGTTGTTCGTTATTCACCAATATGAAACAGCTTGTTCGGGTACTGCTTGTTAGAATCAATTTCCCAGGACTTTGAAGTGTTAAAAAAACAACTAAGCTCACAAAACCTCACTCCAGGCGTATTCCGTATAATAAAACTGCCTTTATTATTTTATTACTTCCATATCTGGCGCATAACGAACAACGAACTAGCTCGTTGTTCGTTATTCACGAAAACAGAACAAAAAACGGGCTCGTTGTTCGTTATTGGCCAAAATGAAACAGCTCGTTATTCATGTAGAAGGACATCTTGCTAGAATCTATTTACCAAGCCTTCGAAGTGTTAAAAAACTATTAGTCTCATAAAAACCCACCCCAGCGTATTCCCTATACAAGTGCTTTTATTATATTATTAATGCCATATCTGGTGAATAACAAACAACAAATTACCGAATAACGAACAACGATCTACCTTAACGCGCCGTTCCTGTGGGGTTGATGGTATTATATATAATAGTCCTGTAGTGTTGATGGTATTATATCTGTATATCTGTAGAATTGATGGTAAAAAAAATAGGAGAGTGGTCAGTACACAGTCGCCACGCTTTATACAACCACGACTTGCTACCCTGATGAGGTTGTGGCTAACCGCGCGATCTGGCTTAGTTTTGAATTCGTGACGAGGTCGAGGCGTATGTGAGACGTGGGTATAATGGAACAAGAGCTGCTGATCTTAGAAGGTGACTTAAAGATGAACGCACTATATGTGACAGGAAGATTGTACGAATTGTGACGTCATGTAAAATACAAACTCCATCAACCGATGCGCAATTGTCTACAAAACAACCATTCTAAGTTTGTACTTTTATTGTGCATTATGAAGGTAATATAAGGGATGGACTAATTTTTCTTTTTTGCCTTGAAATTTTATTGTTCCATTTTGTTTCCTGGTAACGTAATCCACGATATTTATTAAATTAATTATCACGTGCAAGATGGCAGCCATGCGAATAAATCAATAAATTTAAACTTATACATAACTTTGATCAACTTTATTGTCACATATGTATAAAATTTGATCACCATAATGCAAGATGGCAGCTATGTGAATAAATCAATGAATTTAAACATGTACATAACTTAAATATATTTTATTGTTCCATTCTGTTTCCTGGTAACTTAATTAACCATGCTTATAAAATTTGATTATCATATGCAGGTTGTAAGCCAAGCGAACAAATGAAAATAAATAAAACAGATCTATAACTTTAATACATTCATCTTTTATTCACAAGAACATGCCATAAATATAAATTGAGAAACCTTGCATCGATTCTAGTCCCAAAATTCACTCAAAAACGACATGTAAAAAGGGGCAGGGGGAGGTGGGGGCGTAAGACCAACACCGGCAGCGAACCCAAGACACCCAGACTAGGGACCAGCGTCACTCGGCAAACCTCAGCAGATTCCAGTACCCTACATCAAGCCTCGGCTGTATGACAAAGTCCGCCATTGAAACTACTTTCAACTTCCCGGATTACCAACGGCGATGCCCATGACGACGCCTTTGAAAAATGTTTATCATACAAAGATTTCAAAGTCTGAAGCAATTGTGAGATCTTCTTTCTAAAAGCGGCAAATTTTCCTAATAAGTAAACCGGTGCCGCATCGCAATTGTATAGGCATAGGTGCATATCACTTAACGTCATACAGCCGAGACTAGATGTAGGGTACCGGAATCTGCCGAGGCTTGCCGAGTGGGACAACCGTGTTACTCTATGGGGGTGCTCGATTGTCAGCCCGGAATTGATAGAATTGCGAGAGAGAGAGAGAGAAATGGGGTTTAACGTCCACTCGACACAAACTAGGTCATTTCGGGACTAACATATGGTTTAATTTTATTTAATTAATTCGCTTGCGCGTAGGGGTCTTTAGCAGTGGGAGGAAACCGGAGGACCCGGAGAAAACCCACGAGGTTGTGATAGAATTGCAATCAAGTGATACGGAATTCAGCCCTGTCACAGTTCTGCCAGTCCCCCGACAGCTGAGGTGGTGTGAGTAGAATCGTGAAGTATTTTAAGTAACAAATATGTTTCAGCTGCCATAATTGGTTGAGATATTTTTTATGCAGTCGGCACATGCGTTGTACTCCGAAATTCTCCTTTTCAGTCGATTCACACTATTTTCGGAATTGAAAGAATTTAATTCCGGAACGTTCAATCAAGTATCCCCACTGACTTCGGAAAGAAAGAACTACATGAAATGAAGGGAGACAACTACTAATCCTCGTCTAAATGATCACAGATTACTATAGAGATCCCATTATCTTTTATGAAAGGTCTATTGGGGTACAAAAGTTACAGGTGTTCTGATTTTGGTACCCATCCGGCTTCTCAAAAGATTGCTCATTTTTCTTCACATTTTTCGAGAAGCTGAGAATATATTTGTGCATCACAATTGCCTAGGTCCCACTGGGATTTTGCCTCGGCGATGTACTGTCGATGGAAATTAATAGGTTCCGAGGAAGCTCCGGGAGCGTCAAGAGTCATGTGGAACTACTGGGAGACTTCGTGAGAATTGCAGTTTTTGCCTCGGCGATGTACTACCGATGGAAATTGATGGGCGTCGTGAACAGTTTCTCGGGGAAGCCTCGGGAGCGTCGTGAGCCATGTGGAAGCATTGGGAGACCTCAGGACAACTGCGAAATATTTCAATGCTTGCATTGTAATTGTTTCCGATGTGTTCACGACGTTTCGTCAGGAAAACAGACCTGGGAGCTGTCCATGAAGATCAACCTACAAAAATTCAACAGCCAAGCACCCGCTAAAAACATCTCGGAACGAATATTTTATTAAGGATAGGCGCCATTTTTGTTCATCAAACCGAACGCTTAAAACAACCCAAATTTTATTCCGTATGCAAGAGCCATCGTCAAAATCCATCCAAAGTCAGGTTACAAAAGAGCCCAATACCTTTCGAACTTATTATCACCGCTAACTAAATCCACTGACCCATTCATTCTTGACCACAAAGACGTTTGTAATGTAAGCTCGTCTCCTACGATGTTTGCGACTTGGTCACGGTCCCCACTCCTTACTAGACCACATTGACACACTGCATAATGAAATTAAGTTCACCGTGAAAACAGAAAGAGACAACTGACGCCCCTTTCTAGATGTCATTGTCCGAATAAACAACAAATCGCCACAATCTTCAGTTTATAGGAAACCTGCCCACACCAATCAGTATCTTCATTACAAACTGAACCACCTGTAACTAACCAAGAAAACCACGATACTTACCAACAACCGTTCCCCTCAATATTTGTGACCATCAGTGGCGCCGGAACCCGGGTACCAGGGTATACAAATGGTACCCTGCCCTTTTCTGGGATATACATGTGTACTGATGCCCTAATGATGGAAGTTTTCAACCTTTTTACTAGTCTATTCATTTTTAAATGATAGAATTGCTCATGATACGAAAATTGTGTCTCTTTAATTATCATGTATTTTAAAGGGTTTTATGTTGGAATTTAGAATGATAGAGGCGCTCTAAACAGCGTTCTCGGAATGGACAAATTTCAAAATTTTCTAGAGGCCGGGGGGAGAGCCCCCCCCCCCGCCCTATCATTTGGTACCCTGGCCCTCGCGCCGTTCTGGCGCCCCTAGTGACCACGATCTTCTTATAATGAAATCTCAATCAGGTCTTTTCATCATTTAACCTCTACCCCAAGCTGCTAATCAACACCACAATTAATTCAACCATAGCGCTATGCTGTGAGATCATAGTACACATGTACACATGGAAATAGATTAAGAACATATAGATTATTTTGATAAAGATTTAAAAGTCGAACTTTATGTTATTTTGTTATGACCAGATTGATGCGGGACTGATATTCTCCCTTTATCAGTTGAAACAAGTCGTATTCTAAACTCTATTCCCTTAAATAATCGCATAAATAAGTCCTTAATCAGTTGAAACAGATCGAATTCTAACTATATTCCCCTAAATAATCGCATAAATGTGTCCTTTATGTTCGTTATTTGTCGAAAACGAAATTCATTTGTTAATTGACGTTGGTGTCTGCTCAGATATCCACAAGAAACTGCTTGTAAATATGAATATTAATAATAACGTTTCTTCGAAAAAGAGGTTTTAAAGAAACTAAATCTCTTAACTCAATAGTTGCCATAGTATTAGAAATTAAAAACACGAATAAGAATTTAATATTGATCAATTTCAATCAATATTGATGTTGTTATCTTGCCGTGAAACTATCACTGGGTCCTAATATCCAATATTCAAGACACAATTAACATTGTATGATCAGTACACGAGTCGTGTATCCTGTGGTCAGACAACTTTAACCCTGTTTTAAAATATTCTTGTTGTCAGTGTCAACTATACTGATGTATAGATGGTATAGATTGTTTCCAGTGTCATCTGCATGATAGGAATTCGATGTTATAGGATGACGCTCTCGAAAAATTGGATCAATGGCCACCAGCAAAGTCACCTCAATTTGGACACCGGAGTCAGCTTAAGATGAATTACTAGTGGAATATTTTGCCAGAGTCAGCATGATCGGTAATTTTAGGCCCCCTTGTGCTGTATGCTTATTTCTTTCCAGAAACAAAGCTTCTTGACCCTTATGTAACGTCCAGAACGAGGTTAGACTCTTTTGATGACTTAATCCCACGTAAACGTATCAGGGTCGGGGTCGGGTGTATCTCTTACGATAATCAAAACGGAAATATCAGAAAAATAAAAATGGAATGAAATGGGGTTTAAAGTCCTACTGATCTGCTCCTAACCTGGGCTAATGAAGATGGGCATACGCCATACAGTGTGCTATGAGGGAAGTTTTGCCCGGGCAGCGGCGCTACGGCCTACTCTTATATAGAATTCCAACTGCCAAGAGATCTTTTACGTGCACGCCAATGTGTACACGGGAATCGGTTTTTCGTCCCATCCGAACGACTAGACAGCTGTCCTTGTCAGAAGTCTTAAGAAATAAATTTATTTCAATATCACTAAACTAATATGCGTATAAAGTGACAAATAATATAATGGTTATATTGATAATATACAAAATCAGGTTTCAAAAAGTGTACACGTAAACAGAATAGTTAAACATACATTATGCAAGAGCTAAATTTGCCTATTGCAGGTTGTTCTTTAGGCATTAATTAACTTATTCAGACCAATATCAACTCTAGATGTCATCGTTAGCCTCTGATATTTACTGGATTAGGATCCAATTTGCTGCTCAACTTTCATTCATGATTTAATCATGAAATGAATAATCGAGACGATGTTTTTTTTATCGTACCGACTTTAGTAATGATGATCGAGGCTAGGCCGAAAACTCAGTCGCTAAATTCTCGGTTCAGAGTGGAACAATTTGACTGATATTTTCAGCAAATTTCCTTTACATTATCTAGTTTGTAACTATTATAGTGAGAACTGTTAACTCGTTACCGAATCTCCCATAATGTATCTTTAAAATAAAACCCGATATATTTCCAGAATAAGTCATAAATTTCCTATCAAGAGAGAGAGAGAAATGGGGTTTAACGTTCACTCGACACAAACTAGGTCATTTGCATTCGATTGAGACTGCTGACTTATTTCGCGGAACATAACTGATTTGAAATAAGAGTAAAAACGGAAACCATTGAATGTATATCAGTTTATATACATTCATATTACAATATTATATGAGTTGCGACCCACTTGTGTTAATTTATAGATCCCAAATGTTAGCGGTTTAGCTCCTTTAAACTAAAATATTTTGAAAATACCGATGGTTCATTGGCTTAGCACTAAGAATACCAGCGGTTCATTGGCTTAGCACTAAGAATACCGGTAGTTCATTGGCTTAGCACTAAATCATAGCTCAAATGTTAGCTCTTGGCAAATGAAAATGCTGCATTCTTAGAATATTTTTGTTTAAGTTTCCTTGAATAAGGTCCCAAATCAATTACTATAGATTTTAATCATATCAAAATAATTTAATTTTCTGTAGACTTGATAAATAAATTTCAAAACTTAAAGATACATTATGTAAGATTTAAATAAAGATCTAGCCATTGTTGCCTTAATAGTTCGAACATAGATAATGTAACGTGAATAATGTGAAAATTTCATTCACATTATTCTATTGCGAGCGAAGATATTAGCCTTTGAAGGTTTGATAAGACGCGTGGAATAATTTCAACCACCGTACTGGTTGTTCGAAGCTAAGTC